TCTGTACATATGCTAATGCGAAAAGGCTAGCTGTGATTAAAAATCCGGTGGAGACTTGGACTATGAAAAAATGCGAAACAAGCTTGCACAACGAGGAAAAAGGCAGGGCCAGACACTCAATGTGTGAGGCAGGATGAGAACCAACGAAAAACAAGTTCCAGTTCAACTGGACTGCCACTTAAGTCCAAGTCTGAAAAGACTTGAGAAACGGAGGTCTGAAGGTGGTCTTTTCTGTACAATGAGAAACTTATTGTCGAATTATCAACGTATCTGACTACAAGATGATCGAAACAAGGTTGAGTCAAAATTTGAAACGTACTGCTCCACGACCGTTCGTTGTGGTCATGGCCAAATTCGACAGTGTCAAAGATGTCTGACTTCCGACTCCTGCACTTCTAACCTGACGCAAAATCCAAATCAGTGCGGAACAAGCTTGCATAATGGAGAAATCGCAATGGCGAGACATGTCAATGTCTGAAGATAGAAATCCTGTCTGTACATACAGCGGTGCTAATTCATGCAAAAAGTTCGGGTTTGTGACTACGAGTATTGAATTAAATGAGCACGACTTTTGAGCCCGATGCACCATGAGAGTGCAACGAAAACAAGTTCCAGTTCAACTGGACTGCCACTAAAACCCAAGTCTGTAAAGACTTGAGAAACGGAGGTCTGAAGGTGGTTTCTGCTGTACAATGAGAAACCTATTGTCGACGTATCGACGCAGCTGACTACAAGATGTTCGAAACAAGGTTGAATCAAAATTTCCACAACGTACTGCTCCACGATCGTTCATTGTGGTCACGGCCAAATACGACAGTGTCAAAGAGGTCTAACTTCCGAGTCCTGCACTTCTAATCTGACGGAAGTTCAAATCAGTGCGTAACTAGCTTTCAAACTGGAGAAATGGCAAGGGCCAGGCACTGTCAATGTCTGAAGATGGAAATCCTGTCTGTACATATAGCGGTGCTAATTCATGCAAAGAAGTTGGGGTTTGTGACTACGAGTATTGAATTAAATGAGCACGACTTTTGAGCCCGATGCACAGTGAGAATGCAATGAAAACAAGTTCCAGTTCAACTGGACTGCCACTAAAGTCCAAGTCTGTAAAGACTTGACAAACGGAGGTCTGAAGGTGGTCTTTTCTGTGCAATGAGAAACTTATTGTCGACGTATCAATGTATCTGACTACACTACACGATGATCAAAACAAGGTGGAAACATGTTGGTTTTGAAAGATACTGCTACACGATTGTTCAACGTGGCCACTGCCAAATTTGACAGTGTCAAAGATGTCTGACTTCCGATTCTTTCACTTCGGATCTGACGCCAAACGTTTCGGCAGGCTTTGCCACATGAGTGTGAAACAAGCTTGTATAATAGGGAAAAGTCAAAGGTTTCTGCAAGCTTTGCCACATGAATGTGAAACAATCTTGTAAAATGAGGAAATGGCAGGGCCAAACACTGTCAATGTCTGAAGATGGAAATCCTGTCTGTACATACAGCGATGCTAATTCATGCAAAAAGTTCGGGTTTGTGACTACGAGTATTGAATTAAATGAGCATGGCTTTTTGAGCCCGCTCAAACCAAGACGGAAGGTTCCGGCGGATACAGTGTCCCAAATCTGATGCCTGGCAGTGTGGACATCAGTGTTTGTTCAAGAATTGCAACAAATAAAAATCCAAGTCTGTAAAGAATTGAAATTTTGAAATCTGACGCAAAATCCAAATCAGTGCGGAACAAGTTTGCACAATGGAGAAATCGCAATGGCGAGACATGTCAATGTCTGAAGATGGAAATGCTGTCTGTACATACAGCGGTGCTAATTAATGCAAAAAGTTCGGGTTTGTGACTACGAGTATTGAATTAAATGAGTACGACTTTTGAGCCCGATGCACAGTGAGAGTGCAACGAAAACAAGTTCCAGTTCAACTGGACTGCCACTAAAATCCAAGTCTGTAAAGACTTGAGAAACGGAGGTCTGAAGGTGGTTTCTGCTGTACAATGAGAAACCTATTGTCGACGTATCGATGCAGCTGACTACAAGATGTTCGAAACAAGGTTGAATCAAAATTTCCGAAACGTACTGCTCCACGATCGTTCATTGTGGTCACGGCCAAATACGACAGTGTCAAAGAGGTCTATAACTTCCGAGTCCTGCACTTCTAATCTGACGGAAGTTCAAATCAGTGCATAACTAGCTTTCAAAATGGAGAAATGGCAGGGCCATACACTGTCAATGTCTGAAGAATGAATTCTTGTCTGTACATACAGCGGTGCTAATTCATGCAAAGACGTTGGGGTTGGTGACTACGGGTACCTGTGTTGAATTAAATGAGCACGACTTTTGAGCCTGCTCAAGAAATCGGTCGACAAGATCGAAGTGATGATCTGAGCCATTATGGCATTCAGTCCAATGTCAAGTTTAATTCAATATCGAATGAAAAATCAAGCTGAATGAAATTCAGAAAAACCTGACGGGAGCTTGGGAATCAGATCGCCAAGCAATGCCTGTCAAATAGTGGCTGTGGGTGTTTATCACCCACATGCGGCCACGTTTGTGATGCACGCATCCTTGCGAATTCGGGCCACGGGTGAGGTCAATGCACTCACCCTCTCCGCCATTGTGCACGGTTTTTCCTGTGCACCAGGCTAGGCCCACAAATATGGCACCGCATTCGTTCTTGCTGAGATTCGTCCCATTGTGCAAGATACGACCTAATTCGCGCGCCTCCCACGAGGTGTATCCTACTTTGAATCCCTGAGCAAAGAAACTTTCACTTTCTGCAAAGTGGAGTTTGCTAGGTGCCAGCTTACCTTTTTTGAGAATGGCAACAAAATTACCAGGTTTTGTGGCATGTGTGAAGGCCAGATGGATGATTTCATCGAGGCCTCTGTCTGGTGCCGCCCGTCTTGGTATCGGTGGCATCCCTGCTGGAAGGTTGGCTCTATCATACAAAATTGAGATCGGCAAAAGGTAAAAATGCTCCATTGGAGCCGGTTGGTCAGATCCCTGATTCCATCCGTAATAGCTGGGATCATACGTGGCCATTCTCATGGGTCCCAAATCTTGTGACAAAATGTCAGCCTGTGCCAGTAGCTTGGCTACATGTTGCAAAAAGGCTTCAGAAGTGGGATGCTCCTTGACTTGTTGATTCAAAAGGATTTCAAACAAGGAATGCTCATGATCATTTAGCGGGACATGGCCTGACGGCGTGCTCGGAATTGAAAACGCATTAAAAGGAGCACTACCTAAAGGCGCACTCAAAGATGCATTCGGAGCACTACGAACGGTCTGTGGCACCACCGGACGGGGTGGTGGTGGCGGCGGCGGAGGTCTTTCTTGAAATTGGCCGCTGTGACCGTAAATATCAAATACTCCAAGTGAAGTTTCCCAATTCCCTGGTGGGTATGTATGATGGGCTTGCTGTAAAGAGCGAGCCTCTGATCGAACTTCACTGACACTAGGTCCTGGGGACCGAGATCGTGCACGGCTATCGGATCTAGATCTCGTTTGACGAGGTCTACGGGATCGAGAAGATCTGGATCTCAGTGGTGGACGTTGTAAAGGTGCCAAACTGCTCGGTGTAGCTGGTGGTCTACCGATTTTCTGTACATCTTCAAGGGCTACAGACATTGGTCCCGGTGGTCTTCTAGGGGGGTCGAAGCTTGCAGTACCATCAGTAATTGGCAGCGCAGGTCGGACCTCACTCTTGGGTCTCAACGTCGAAACCACGGCAGCCGGTGCTCGAGGCGGTGGTGCTTTAGCCGCCTGACGGCTGTAGTCCCCTGCAATGAAATACACATTGTATGACATGGATGCAACTCTACGTGTCGAAAATGGAAAATGGAAAATGGAACACCATGACAACATACAATTAGAAAAGGTCAACTGTACAAGTATCAACGTGTGATACGTTTTCAGTGATTGGCTTCATGAATGAACGTGAAAAACATGTCGGTTGAGCCAGGATGTCTGTACAGAAACTGAAAGCTGAAGTACCGTGAAAACACTGCATCGAAACTCTCACTGATCCGTCCTACGAGTAAGTCTAAATGCTCTATTGCTGTTTCTTCTGCTTTGTTCTTTTGGCGACTCATAGTTGTTTCAGAGGAGGGCCCGAAAGCCTTTGTTCAGGAATAACCCCGAATGTTCAGAGTGAATCAGAGTGAATCAGAGTAATTCAGAGGCACAAAGTGCAATCAGAGATTTTCAGAGATTTTTCAGAGATTCTTCAACGCCTGAGAAAACATGCACGACAATTTCCATGGAGATCTTCGATCTCCGTTGGAAAGTGGAACTCCGTAACACGAATTACTCATCTCGAGGGGACGGAAGGGAAAATTAGTCCCAAATCATATCGGATACGGTTCAAAGAAATACCGATGGCTACGATTCATGGTCAAAACGACCCAGTGGTATTGCCTTGTTGTTTTTCTCTGGACAAGGACCAGACATACCCCCATTTTTTGGTGGTGAAAAAGTTGAGGGCCGAAGCCAAATCAGAGGGATACTGTTCACACGCCGGCAGTTACCGGATCACGACAGGACCATGACGGAATCTCTGCCGAATACACACTTGAAAGACCGTATCTCGTCTATGAGTCTTTTCATTCCCAACAGGGCACCTGAACTGATTCTGCTGTTTACATGCTTAGTTCAGGAAGGCCGTCTTTGTCCACATTGGACAAAAGTCGCAGAAATGGGTAAATACGGAAAAATGCGTAACGGACTCCGATTTCTCGAATTATTCATGCATATGATAAAAAATAATAACCGGAAAGTCATCAAAAAGCTTGGATAATGAAAGAACATCGTGGCCAACTGCAGGTACGTCAGGGTGATCAGCCCTGATATCCCATCCAAGACCGTAGCTTCGTTGCACACGGTGGGTCAAGGATGCCGTGTGCCCCTGCTTGTAAATTGGGAACTGTAACTAAAAATTGGACATGTGATGAAAGCCCTTCGGAACAGGGGTTGCCCCCACACACACACACACACAACATAAAAAAAATATTGTGAACAAAACAAAACTGATTGCTGATGATTACTGTACATCATTCCACAAGGCTGTTGCTCAGGCAATCCCAGGTCCTCTCAGGCCTCACCCGTCGTTGTGGCGGTGGCGGTAACAGTGGCGGTGGCACTGCACGAAACAGTGCTGACGCAGCCGTGTTCTGTAGCTTTGCTTGCCCAGTACTCGATCGCCGAAGAGCCCTTTGACACATCTATGTTGATCCCATCAATCGTAGTGACTGATGGAGGGTTCGCGGCCATGTCATAGTCACAGCATGGCGCAAAGCACTCGAGGAAAGTGGTGATTTCATTGCAATCTCCTGCCAATGCCTTGGTGTTGTCTAAGGCACTAATGCAGGAATCTACCACAAAACTGCTGCACCCACAGCCTTGCAAAGTGCCCATCAGGACAGCCGTCAAGGAGACAGTGACAGCCATTGCCGAGGACTTCATACCGAACCATGCAATCAGTGGTCAATGGGGCGAATTGGCTGTCTTGAACTGAGAATCGCTGAGGGAGGAATCTCATTGATCTGCTTTGTGCCTCTGAAGCTTGGAAACCTACGGGTGAATTGGCTACCCTCTGGTAAATTCACATAGCGAACTGGAAAATCACAATTTTTTATAGGTAAATCCACTATAAATGGGCAATTTTCAATAGCTTTTTGTATGTTTACCAGAGGCCCTCCCAAATCTGCAACAGAACAACGAAATCCAGCTGGGACTCCAGACGGAAATGGCAAGTGGCAAGAGCTTGTCAACGAGAATGACGAAAAGAGGCGAGCATTCAAGAATCAACTAGAAAAAACAACAAGTAAGGTGTCAGAGTATGCACATATTAAACATATATATATATATACATACATACATACATACATATCGAGTTAAGTTATGGCACCTTTGCCAGACTTCGCCACCGCAGTCTGGACAGCACCCTGCACAGCACCCAGCACAGCACCCTGCACAGCACCTTTGCCAGACTTCGCCACCGCAGTCTGGACAGCACCCTGCACAGCACCCTGCACAGCACCTTTGCCAGACTTCGCCACCGCACTCTGGACAACACCCTGCAGAGCACCCTGCACAGCACCCTGCACAGCACCTTTGCCAGACTTCGCCACCGCAGTCTGGACAACACCCTGCACAGCACCCTGCACAGCACCTTTGCCAGACTTCGCCACCGCAGTCTGGACAGCACCCTGCACACACACCCTGCACAGCACCTTTGCCAGACTTCGCCACCGCAGTCTGGACAGCACCCTGCACAGCACCCTGCACAGCACCTGTGCCAGAATTCGCCACCGCAGTCTGGACAGCACCCTGCACAGCACCCTGCACAGCACCTGTGCCAGACTTCGCCACCGCAGTCTGGACAGCACCCTACAGAGCACCCTGCACAGCACCTTTGCCAGACTTCGCCACCGCAATCTGGACAGCACTAGGGTAGGGTAGGGTAGGGTAGGTAGGGAGGTAGGTAGGGTAGGTAGGTAGGTAGGTAGGTGGTTCCAGGGGATGGGTGTATTGTCTCTGTTTCCCCTCCCCTCCGCCCCCCACCCCTCTATTATCTCCCTGGAATCCAATTATCATGCGAAGTACCTCTGCTTCCCCGCCCCTTTTGTGGGTTGGGTTGGGTGTAGTATGTATATACCTATGTAGGTTGGTAGTTATAGGTAGGTAGGTATGTATGTATGTATGGGGATGGTTCCAGGGGGTGGGTGTATTGTCTCTGTTTCCCCTCCCCTCCGCCCCCCCCCTGCGGGTTTATTATCTCCCTGGAATCCAATTATCATGCAAGGTACCTCTGCTGCCCCTCCCCCCCCGTGGGCTGGGAACGGTGGTCTTGTTTTTGATGGGTCATTTATATATGTACCTACATAGGTTGGTAGGTAGGTAGGTAGGTAGGTATGTATGTATGTATGTATGTGTATTAGTTTTTATGTATGTATGTATGCATGCATGCATGCATGTATGTATGTATGCATACATGCATGCATGCATGCATGCATGCATGTGTGTGTATGTATGTAATGTAATGTAATGTCATGTCCTGTTATGTCATGTAAGGTAAGGTAAGGTAAGTTATGTATGTATGTATGTAGGTAGGTATGTATGTATGTATGTATGACCCCAGAGGTGTCAGAGACGGCATGCAGGGGGGATACATATGTATCTAAATACATATATATATATATGCGTATATATATATATATATGTTGTATATACATATATACATATATACATATATATATACATATATACATATACACATATACACATATATACATATATAATCATATATACACATACATATATACATATATAAATATATACATATATACATATATGGCGGGGATACCATTGGGGGGGTTGCCGGCCGCCGGCCGGGACCATATATATATAAGATAATATCCAATAAGCCTGATATAAAAATATAGTCGATATATTACGGAAGCAATATTTAATCTAATAAAAAAATAGTAGAATGCTATCGGATAGTACCAATCAAATAAAATAGCGAGATATTCTAGATTCATTACATTAATACATCCCACCAAAAAAAGAATTCGACGACAACAAGGCGTTTACCCGTTTGTAAATAAAATATAATATTATACAATATTTAATATAAAATAGGATAAAAAAAATAAATCAGTAACTAATATAATATAACAATATTAAAACATAGAATTTACCATTATATCCGCCGACCCCGGCCTTCACCAAGGCAGGGGCGGCGCCTGGGACCACCGCAGGTGTGGAGCCTGTGTTTGTTGGCTTGCCACTACCTTGCCGTTGCACTCTGGCCACAAGCATTTGTTGTTAGAGCCTTGAAGCTTGTCGTTTGCGTCCATGGCCCTCTGTTGTTAGGGCGTGCAAGCCTGCCGTTTGCCGGCCGTCAAATGCAGACAATCCCCTGCGGCAGCCTCGACCAGGCACTCAGGCCACTGCCTCTCCATTGTTGTTAGCCTTGAAGTCGCCGTTTGCGTCCATGGCCCCCAGCTACAGGCCCCAACCATCTGTTTTTAAAGTCGTTCAAGCCTGCCGTTTGCCCGCCCTCAAATGCTTCCGCAGCCTTGCCAAGGCAACTCTCCCAGCTACAGGCCCCAGCCATCTGTTTTTGACGCGTTCAAGCCTACCGTTTGCCCGTCCTCAAATGCTTCCGCAGGCCTTGCCAAGGCAACTCTCCCAGCTCCAGGCCCCAGCCATCTGTTTTTAAGGGCGTTCAAGCCTGCCGTTTGCCCGCCTTCAAATGCTTCCGCAGGCCTTGCCAAGGCAACTCTCGCAGCTATACAGGCCCCAGCCATCTATTTTTAAGGCTGCCAAGGCAACTCTCCCAGCTACAGGCCCCAGCCATCTGTTTTTAAGGGCGTTCAAGCCTGCCATTTGCCCGCCCTCAAATGCTCCCGCAGGCCTTGCCAAGGTAACTCTCCCAGCTACAGGCCCCAGCCATCTGTTTTTAAGGGCGTTCAAGCCTGCTATTTGCCCGCCCTCAAATGCTCCCGCAGGCCTTGCCAAGGCAACTCTCGCAGCTACAGGCCCCAGCCATCTGACTTTAAGGGCGTTCCCGCAAGCCTTGCCAAGGCAACTCTCCCAGCTACAGGCCCCAGCCATCTGTTTTTAAGGGCATTCAAGCCTGTCATTTGCCCGCCCTCAAATGCTCCCGCAGGCCGTGCCAAGGCAACTCTCGCAGCTACAGGCCCCAGCCCCAGCCATCTGTTTTTCAGGGCGTTCAAGCCTGCCGTTTGCCCGCCCTCAAATGCTCCCGCAGGCCTTGCCAAGGCAACTCTCCCAGCTACAGGCCCCAGCCATCTGTTTTTAAGGGCGTTCAAGGCTGCCGTTTGCCCGCCTTCAAATGCACCCGCAGGCCTTGCCAAGGCAACTCTCCCAGCTACAGGCCCCAGCCATCTGTTTTTAAGGGCGTTCAAGCCTGCCATTTGCCCGCCTTCAAATGCACCCGCCTGCCTTGCCAAGGCAACTCTCGCAGCTACAGGCCCCAGCCATCTGTTTTTAAGGAAATGCTCCCACAGGCCTTGCCAAGGCAACTCTCCCAGCTACTGGCCCCAGCCATCTGTTTTTAAGGGCGCCCAAGGCTGCCGTTTGCCCGCCCTCAAATGCTCCCGCAGGCCTTCAAGCCTGCCGTTTGCCCGCCCTCAAATGCTTCCGCACGCCTTGCCAAAGCAACTCTCCCAGCTACAGGCCCCAGCCATCTGTTTTTAAGGGCGTTCAAGCCTGCCGTTTGCCCGCCTTCAAATGCTTCCGCAGGCCCCAGCCATCTGTTTTTTTTAATTTGCGTTCAAGGCTGCCGTTTGCTTGCCTTCAAATGCCTCAAACCCTTCCACAAGCGTTGCCAAGGCAACTCTCCGAGCTACAGGCCCCAGCCATCTGTTTTTAAAGTCGCTCAAGCCTGCCGTTTGCCCGCCCTCAAATGCTTCCGCAGGCCTTGCCAAGGCAACTCTCCCAGCTACAGGCCCCAGCCATCTGTTTTTGATGTGTTCAAGCCTGCCGCTTGCCCGCCTGCAAGTGCCTCAAACCCTTCCGCAGGCCTTGGCAAGGCAACTCTTTCAGCTACAGCTACAGTCCCCAGCCATCTGTTTTTAAGGGCGTTCAAGCCTGCCGTTTGCCCGCCCTCAAATGCTTCCGCAGGCCTTGCCAAGGCAACTCTCCCAGCTACAGGCCCCAGCCATCTGTTTTTAAGGGCATTCAAGGCGGCCGTTTGCCCGCCCTCACATGCTTCCGCAGGCCTTGCCAAGGCAACTCTCCCAGCTACAGGCCCCAGCCATCTGTTTTTAAGGGCGTTCAAGCCTGCCGTTTGCGCGCCTTCAAATGCCTCAAACCCTTCCGCAAGATTTTGTAAGGCAACTCTCCCAGCTACAGGCCCCAGTCCAATGACGGTCCTCATCCGTTGGGATTGAAAACAACAACAATTTTCATTGCGTTCTCAACCTGGCTGCTGGGATTCCACGCTGACGCGGCGTTTATCGCCCCTCGCCGTAGGCAATGGCTTGCAAAGCAAGCAACCAAAATGATCCTGAAGCCCTCAAAAAAGGGGGGTCGGCGGCACCCGGGCGCTAGCCCATTCTATAATGTAATGTAATATAATGGTATATACCGTTTAATATATAAGTTGCAAATATATTTAATTTTGTTCTTATCTTATTCTCAAATTTAATGTTTATTGGTGTTAGAATATTGATTATGTTTTCTTGAAATGTCTAATTCTTCGGTTGGTTTTTCCGTGTACCTCCCCCAGCCGCATCAGCTTCGGCGTCTCGTTCATCGAACCTGTTTCAACGCACAGGAGTTTACACAGTGTCGCTTGTTTTGGATATGTTTTGTTCTCACGGAAAGACTTTTCTTGTGGTTGCAGTGATTGGTCACTGAATCAAACTGTTTTCGTTCTCAGTCTCACACCATTCTGGCGCCGGAGCTGCCATAGCCGAAGCTGCCACAGCTGCAGAAGAAGCTGGAGCTGTTGTAGCTGCAGGAGCTTCAGGAGCTTCAGGAGCTGCTAGAGCTGCTGGAGCTTCCAAGTGGCTTTCAGCCTGGCCACCAGGCTCCATAAAACATGGAAGATTGCCACACCTTGTGCTGAAAGGCACCTGCACCTGTTGGACCACTTGTGCACTGGAGCTGCTTGCCTGCGGAACGAAGAGACGACTTGGACGGATTTGGACGAACTTGGATATCTTGGAATCCTGGAGATCCAGAGATCCAGATCTATCCTGCTGAACAACTGAATTCAACTATTCCAAGGAATCTTTACCAAAGATTTGGGCAAATGGCACCTTACTCCGAACTGAAGCTTGGCTCGACCTCTTCTGCAACACCCTAGCCACCTGCAACACAAAATCCAAAGAGGAATGTCAGAGTCTTCACATCTGTCTTGAATAGCCTGAAATGGAAACAAAAAACAGCATTGCTTCGCACCAAACCTGCTTATTTTCCTCGCACTGGACAAGAAAGATGGCTTATATACATATAACATCATATAACTATATTGTCATTGGCAAAGAACTTGACAACAGTTGACATGGCCCAAATGCCGGACCACACAAACAGAGTCAGACAGTTGACCAACTTCTGCGAAATCGCTGGGTGTCAATCGAGAACGGGTTGCCATTGTTCAATTGACGGAGTGCCAAGAACAAACGACGACCGACATCACCTGCTCCTGAAAGTCAGGCTCATCTTCACCACGTCGAGGCTTATTGAGAAGGACTTTCCTGATCAAAAGAGATATGATGATGCCATATATATATATATCAAAAATTATCAAAATATGCTAAATACCCAAAACGAAATCAGAAAGGAGGATAAGATGAATCTCTCATACCTCTGAGACCGCGGCCCTTGTCTCCAAACTACCAGCAAGCCCAAAATTCCGCTTGAAAGCATGCACCTTGGACAGCAGGATTGCAAAACAAATCTTCAGACTATGACTAATTGAATGCTCATTGGATGTTCATTGCATGTTCGTTGCATGTGCATTGCATGCTCATCTCATGTTCAGGGCATGGTCATCAAATGTTCATCGCATGTTCATTGCATGTTCGTTGCATATTCATTGGTGATTGTTGGTTGATATTGCTTGCATGTCTTGCAGACTTCGCGTTGCGCTATTTTGATGTGTTTCCTGAGGCACAAGCAAAGCCAATGTGGTCATTGTCAGGCGATGCCTCCGAATGGAAACTTAGACACTGAAAAAACACATTAAACACATTGGTCAATAATTTTAGAGTAAGTGGTATTGACTGGTTGCATCATGTTGCATCTACTTACTCTCTCACAGCCTTGACATATCTTAACTCTGTGATCTCGAAGCTTTCCAATCTGAGTCGCCGGCTGGACTGCATGCTTGTGGACTTTGTGTTTTGGTGCATTTGTTGGAACATTAGACTGATCAGACTGATCAGACTGATCAGACTGGGGAGGTACGGGCACCAAATTCCCACCATTCCCAGTCTGTGGGAAGGCCGAGATGTCTGCGGCCGAGGGCGGCGAGGTCATGGTGTTGGCAGAGACCAGTCTCGACGGCGAAGGTGGACGCGCCACATCGTCGGCATCTCGTGGGTCGTTGCTTGAAGCGATGGTAGGAGAAGCCGCGGCACGGGAGGCACGGGAGGCACGGGAGGCACGGGAGGCACGGGAGGCCGCGGCCGCCCCGGACTCCAACGAGCCGAAGCCACGGTCCTTGGAACGCACCGTGCACCGTGAGGTGCTGTGAGACTCGTGAGACTCCACACTTCCGCGACTTCCGCGACGTCCGCGCCTGGTGTCTAGACTTGAATGTGTGTACCTCTCCGGCAAAATCCACGGCAGCCTCGCAGAACACAAGCACGAAAACAAGCACGGCATAATATCCTAGTGCAAATCCACAAGATAGAAAACCACCCTCTCTTTCTACTATAAGGACATCCTTTGTTGGAACGTAGCGCAAGCAAGCAAGGTTTACTGAACGAACTCTTAGGACATTCGAATATATCTATCATTGTCCTATCTTTCTTGCTGCACTTTAGTTGTCACATCTCTAAGCCAAGTCCAAACTTCTCCACACTTCAAGCTGCTTGAAGCTGATTGGATAAGATCTTGATTGATCTTGTTTCAAACTTCTCAAGCTTCTGTTTGGATCCTCACATGCTGCTCCTGCCTGATAGAGTGACTGCCTGAAATCGTGCCACGACATCAATCTGTAGCTCTAGTGCGACATGCAAAGATCTGGCGCATTCTGTTCCCACATGGTATCGCACATGACCCAGCATGACCCAGCTCAGTATTCACTGAACTGGATGAACTGGATGAATTGCATGCCGTGGATCAAATTATACGGTCATTTACCCAGCTCACTATGTTTGGTGAGTATATTTGGTACACTGTGCAATCTCGTCTTGCCCAGTTGCTGGGACAGGGGCTGCGAAGCCTCACCGTCGAATTGCCAAGTGGACTGGACCGCAAAAGTATCACTTTGTATCACTTTGTATCCTGGAAATCTTTACAAGATTTGACAAAGCTCCAGAGCTTGTACAGTGTTTTTCTAGAGGTTAGCAAAATTTAGCGAATAACACATATCTATCTGATTCGCACATTGTGATTCTCAACAACGCTGAGTACCGTTGTGAGTGAACAGCAATCGTAATCATTCTGAAAGAAAGATACCAACAATGATAAAGCAAGGCCATAGACTGCCTCAAGCTCATGCCTTCGAACCAATGCATTCCCATCTGGCGAGGCAGACAAAAAAGCAGAAGAGAGTTGAGTAGGCCAGTATTTCTCATCTTGGAATCTTGGAACACCGGACCTTCGACTTGCTTTCCGATGGCAAGCTAAGAGTAGCCAAAACTCAGAGGACTATCAAAACAAGTTCCGCAGAAGCTCATGATGCTCATGGCACCTTCCAAGTGGCCGGACTCGCCCTGAGACACCGGGATTACCATTTCATTACCATTTGATCAGGAATTCCAGGCACTTTTGATACTCGGACTGTCAGACTGTCAGACTGTCAGACTGGGCTTGCTACTTTGCTTGCTGTCACCGCTGTCACGGCTGTCACTAGCCACAAAAAGCACCTCGAGCGTTTCAAGCATTCTGAATCGAGCACAAGTGCTCTTACAAAAGCTGCAACAAATGACGACATAATGTGTATATGTATATATATATAATATTATATACTTGAGAGCAGGCGGAGGCGGACGAAAGGTAGTGTAGTGGGAGAGGAGTGGTGTCAAAATGCTGCGTTTGTAAGATGATACACCAAAAACGTTTTTGCGCAGTCTAAGATGATTTTATCCAGAGCATGACTGCATGATACGGTGTCTTGTGCAGCGTGAAATGATGCACGAAAAGGGGTTTATTTAAAACCCCTTTTTAAGACCCCTTGCAGCAACTGTTATTGAGGCTGAAGCATACCAATTATGCTGGACTACAGGGACATCTCCCTCATGCAAAGTGTGCCTCTAATGTGGGGGCCCGTGACCGCGTCACCCGTGGGAATTGAACCCATGACCATTTTCGGGGGGGGGGGCCCCCCCCCCTATAATTGATATCCAATACATAACGGCGAGAATTCCATGAATTCCGTGGGCTGGCCCCCCAATACCCCCTAAGCTTGTGCTGAAGCACGGAGAACTCAGGTAGCTGACGCTACCTTTCGTGATATATATTTATATATATATATATATTAATTTCATTTATCTCATGTTGTTCTCCCATGTTTCCGTCTCGCATCTCCAATTGCCATCAATGTCCCCTGTCTCGTTTCCGGCCTGGGCATTGACGTACCATGAATGCACAGGGAACACTACCCGAGCTGTACAGGATAATGGAGGGCCTAGAGTATCTCTTGCACAGGAGCCAGATCAAGCGGCGCGAGGTCTGAAATGCTATGGCCTATGATGGCCTATGGATTTTCATTGATTCTCATTGATTCTCATTGGCAGCAACTTGCAACAACTTGCAACAAATGGCACACGGTGCATCACGGTGCATCACGGTGCCCCATGTGCTTCAGCCGGATCCTGTTTGCATCATACTCAAATGACGGGTCTTTTTGCTTCACCAACCATTAGCACCAGTGGTCCAACCATGGCCTCAGCAGGGAATTGGCAAACAAAAGCCATGGCAGGTGGACAATGTCAAGCCATGTCAGGCCATGTCAAGTGCACGACCTTTTCGACTCAGACGACTGACTCTTTGTCTCTGACATTGCGTGAGAAGGATTTCACTTCCACTTCACTCTCGTTGCGTGCTCTGTGCGAGACAATCAGTGGGCACTAAAAAAACATTCCAAAAGGATGCTGTATGCCGATGCTGCCGATGACATGTGAAATCATGTGAAATCATGCTAACTGGATGAAAAAAGTGGGATGCTGTCATGATGCTGTAGACATCTGTAGACCAAATTTCAATGGGTCCACTGATTCTGTTGGTTTCAAGATGCCTGACGCTTGAGGGTAGCCTCAACGGAGATCTCCATCCCATCCATCCCCACAGGGGAGTTGAGGATTTCCCAAAAAGTCCATCGATCATCTGAATCTTTGCCCCAGTTGAACTCAGTTGAACTCAGTTGAACTCAGTTGAACTCAGTTGAACTCAGTTGAACAGCTACCCACCTTCAAGTACTGTACTTGAGTCAAGAAGACATCTGTGCATGTAGTATTCTTTTGAACACTTTTTTTCGGCGCTACGCCTCAAAGATTGGCAGGTTTAATGCCCATTTGTGGAGCCTGGCACAAAGAGGCACCAAATCGGCTTCCAGAATCCTCTCCAGAAAATATGTTCTCTTGCCTGGAGGAAGGAGTTGAATGTTTCGGCTATGCCACCGAAGCCATTTGCCACCTGGGCAGCGATGGGGATGGGAAATGGCTCACGTTAGGTCCTATACTTCCTCCCATTTTGTGAAGCCTATCTGCCTATCCCGGCCTATCCCTCATGAAACTGTCTTCTGGTGATGCCCACTTAGTTTTCTCAGGACTGCTAGCACCAGTGGTGTCAGGAGTGATGTAGAAAGATCGAAGCTGCACAAAGTCTGAAGGATGATGAAGTTTGATGAAGTTTGATGAAGTTTGATGAAGTTTGATGTATCTCTGTCATTTTTTGTCCATGTTGGTCCTTTCCATTCCCTTCCTGGTGGCAGTTCCTTCTCCCTTTGAGCACCTTCTCGGGTTCCACAGCTTCCACAAGCGGCGGTACTCTCCCAGCCTCTCTAAGCTCCGATCTACCGAAGCCACAAAAGGAGGGTCACTTTCCGGGAAAAGAAAAACTGAGCATCTACAAATCATCTCTCTGAGCTACGTACAGATGTGGTCAAGTCCACCGCACCTGCGAAAGCCAAAGGAAAACCAAAGGAAAACGCACAACGGTTTTCCATCTGGATCTACCTGGATCTACCTGGATCTATCTGGAACTGGATCCACAAAGACTACGATGATCGGTTTCGGTTTCCAGATCTCTCCAAGCCTCTGAGCAACTGCTTTCTTGCCTGGAAAAGACTCCAAAAATGTGCGAAGCATGCGAAGCAATGCAAAGCAATGCGAATCAACTCGTGCTTCAGCAATGAACAAATGTGAATGATGTAAAGCAATCGTAGTTCATGTCGCGAATCAATGCAAATGTGGAAAGGTGCGTTCACAGGTCATATCTAATCACAATCCTCATGTCTTTGACAAAAGACCACTTGGCCACTTGGAAGGTGCAGGTGCTGGCCATCACTGAGATCAAATGGTAATAAAATATCCTAAAATGACAGTAGAAATTGCGCCAAAAGTGCTGAAACATGATAATGCAGAGGGGGTCAACAAACGACCTGAACCACAGAAAATGGAGCGATGTAAAGACCGAAGGCCACATAAACTAAAAGGTAACCCCAACGAAAAGGGCAGCCGTAGCCATTCTCAGCATGCGACCATGCCATATTTGGTGTTGAATTCGGATGGGCTGCTTTCGGCCCAGCGAACCTGAGAGCAGCGATTTCACCCACTGAGCCACTGACTTTGCAAAGTGCATAAATTATGCCGACAAAATGACAAAATGCCAATGGTGCCCATAGTCTCACACCCAAAATGCATGGGAATCTTGCTGACGTCGCTCCACCTATCAAGAAAGGCTTCAAGAAAGGCTTGCAAGTCGAGGGGCCAAGTGCATAATTAGGCAGTTCAATCGGTTCAATGAGGGACTGAATTCATCAGACTGTGGTTGACACTGGTTGACGCGTTTTTTCTCTGGGAAACTTCGGAAATAGTCAAGAAATGAACGCGAAAAACGCGAAAAAAATCACCTCCTGGAGAAAGTCGTCCACAAGGTCTCCCTGATCGGGCTCACATCGAGGCCAAAATGACCAAGCACAAAAATACTCCGATACTCACAGCGAGGAATTCATAAACAAATCATCCGATATCATATGAATCCATGTCTTCTCATGTTCTCATGATATTCTCCTGCCTTTCCCTTGGATCCTCCCAGGTAGTGAGCACAAAAACGTCTTCTCTGTGAAAGGCTCGGAAAAAGCCTGTGAAGCGAAGCAAGTGAGACACGGTACACGGGCATCATCATCAAATCCCGGGCAGCGACATGGATGGCTCTCAGCTTGGCACTGCAGCTGATAGAGATGCGGATCTGGTCCGCAGTAGGGATACATCCATTCCTCAGCATCTATCTAAAACAGAAGTGAAAGCGAAGCAAATTGCAAAGTCACTGCAGATTGAACGCACATGAAACCAGAAGGAAATCCGCCCGCACCGAAGGCGCCGAGGCCTGGGAGGCGTGGTAGCGAGCGAGAAATACAAGTGGCCGATCTGTCAGTCTGGTACAGCTTCAGCTGGAGGGGGCGGGCATTTTCGACCCGGTAAAAAGTTGGCCTGTCTTGGGCCCAACTTCGGCGGCAGATGCTCCCACACAGGACCAAGTTGCGCATATTAAGCCCGACTTGCGTCGGAACGTGCCCAAGTTGTGCCATGTAGGACCAACTTAAGGCGAAGGACGGCCAAGTTTGACCCCAGTCGGCTTTGGTTGGGCCAAGTAGGCCCGCTCCTTTCCTATCTGTCCTATTCCCTGGGTGGGCTGTACTCTTCGCGAAGCGACTCGAATAGAGGAAGCAGAACACAAAGGTATGCTAAGTATACTATAGTATACTAGTCATAAAAAATCAATGCGAGGAATTCTGCAAGGCTTGGGCTGTGGCATTGAAGTGATTTGCAATATCGTACGCAGGATCTAAGTCACCTGAATACTCGAAGTCCAAGAACTGAAGATCACCTCCAGAGAATTTCACTGGCTGAAATTACACAGAGTCAAGCTACAAATGTGTTTTGCTACAAATTTTGACCCAACTGTAGGTGCTACCTGCATTTCTGTTCATGTCAAACTCCATCCCAGGTCCCACTGTCCCACCACCAAATCCCACCAGACCTCCTGAAATCAACATGTTGTTATGATGCAAGTCGTTGTGATTCAGGCCAGTCCTGTCATATTCAAAATGAAATACCAAAGCTGGCCATGTTTCCTGACCACTATGGAATCACTGTGACTTGATATGATTCAAAAAAACATTCAAAACACATGTAAACCTGTCATTTAAAGAAGAACTAAACATGATAATGTATCGTTATTTAAAAAAAAAAACATAACTATGTATATTATATTATATATAGATGTATAAAACAGTTCATATATATATACATACTATGCATATATTATATATAATAATACGATATAATAATATATATCCCATAGGATCCATGTATGGTATATATACTAACATTGGGGGTATATTGATGGTAAATGTTACCATATATAGCATACATGGATCCTATGGGTATATATACACATCATATCTCCATCTTCGGAGCTTCCGGAGCCATCGGTGCTGTCCTGTCGTGGAAGCTCCGAAGTTTCCTTGCGATGCGTTCAATGGCCTCGTCGCTGCGGATCTCCTGGGCGGATCCGGGCGGATCCGCGGCCCGCGTGCGGCGGAGCTTCCCCAAGGATCCTCCGTTTTTGCACGGAAAAGATCCACTGGTTATGTCAAAATAGCTATTGAAAATGGCCATTTATAGTGAGTTTTCCCATTAAAAATGGTGATTTTCCATAGTTATGTTAGTTTACCGGAGGGTATCCACTGGAAAATGAGGAAAAAATGATTGGTATACCGTATACCATGGTATACCATGGTATGACATGGTATGACTATGACTATATCCACTGGAAAATATCAATGGCCATGCAACAGGAACCAACAGGAATCAATTTTTTTGGAGGTAGCTACCATTGTTTTAGGAGGCCTATTGTTCAGGCCTATGTAAGGGAATATCCACACAAAATATTTAAAATATGGAAATCCCATTGAAAATACGGAAAAAGTGACTGGTATCTAGGTATGACATGGTATGACTATGACCGGTTTTTGTTACTGGTTTGTTTCTTGGTTTTTCTTGGTTTTTGTTACTGGTATACTACTGCTTTGATTCTTTGCTCATGCCTTTAACAAAAGACGTGCCACGGGCCACAGGCCTCATGACTTGGAGCTCGCCCTTCTAGCCATTCTTCGACGCGGCCTTCATCGAAATTCAGCAGCACCTGTGGTCCAAAACCACACCCTGCAACGTAGCGGGCTCTCCGGACCTGGAAGGCGAAATCAAAGCCACACCCAGTCCCCAGTCCGGACCAAATCTTCTCGACCCTTCAAATCAAAAATCGTTTGCAAATCCTTCTCGGACCGCATGATCAAAGATTATCTTCATTATGTTTCATTATCTTCAGAAGCCAAAGCCTACTCATGTACCCGAGACACGCGGATGCATGAAAGCTACCTAAATTGTTAGCACATTCTTGCATCCCATCCCTTTACTATCTAGCTGGTGCAGATCGCACTTTGGTTCTGAACAGAACTGAGACGGAAAAATGTGGAACGATTCAATGTTGAGAAGCCTTCCAGGAGGGAATGTCAGGCAATGAATGATTCCAACGAAGAAAACGACAGACAACATGTAAGTTACATGCGTAGGATAGAATAACAAACAATAGACAATACATGTGAACACATGAACAGTGAGACAAAAGGGCCTGCAGGTTGGGAAATAGTTTGCGAGGCAGGGCTCGGGGGACGAAAGGGTAGACATGGAGATACGTTTGAGTGAGATGAAATGCGAATTGCATGTCTAGAGACATCACCTCTGAATATTCAATGTAATCTCAAAGGAAGCTTGGCTTCGGCGCTCCCAATAAGAATTCAAAAATAGTTATAGTTACAAAAATAGTTATAGCCTATTAGTATGTTATAGTTACTCTATAATTCTTTGAAGGTCTCTATGTTTCTTACCGTGTGAAACGTGAACGTCATAGCAAAACGTGAGCCGTTTCAGTCCTCATCGTCACGGCGGAAAATGCCATGGGCGGTGGGTCCATAGATCCGAAGCAGAACCTTTTCCTGGAACATCAACGACATAGATCAACACCCATAGGATCCATGTATGCTATATATGGTAACATGGATCCCATCAATATACCCCCAATGTTAGCATATATACCAGCACCATGGATCCTAACATGAGCTGAACATCATCAACTATCATCAACTCACCAATGAAGACAGATTGGAATGGAGTTGGCAATGAATCTGCGCAATGAGTCATTTCGACTCATTTCGAGTCGCCTGTGCCTGTTGCAAAGGTATGGAAAGGTATGTGTGACATAGTGTGTGACCGTCGCCAAAAAAGGCGAGTAACTCACGTGCCCAATTCTTCAAGGAGCGGGTCATCCGAAGCAAATTCTGAAAATGGTGGACCATGTAATGTCAACCCCGGATGAATAAACCATGGTTTATTAATTACGGGGGTACCCCTACCCTCCCAATTAAGAAATGGCATGAACATAATATGAAAATGCCATGCAGAAATCCTGATTTTAGGGCCTTCCAATCCTTCCAGAAAAAGAGTTCAAAAGGCAGAGTCGAACCATCTGCAACACGCTTCGAAACACGGTAATTGGAAGATTTTTATATCTTACCCTCTGGTAAATTAACATAGACCCTGGCAGTCATTGGGGTTGGAAGATTAGTTTCCATTCAAACTAGCCTATTTTCAGGGTCTATGTTAATTTACCAGAGGGTAAGATATAAAAATGATATAAAGTCGTTTGCAGCACAAAATGCCGAGCAAGCCCCAAATGGTCCTTTCCGCAAGACACTCGAAAAACCTGGCCACCGGACAACTTCAGGGCGGCATGTCACAGCATATCACAGCATGTCACAGCATGTCGATCAACCAAGCCCAACCAAGCTATCAAGATCTGCCAGGTCTTTCTTTCCTACAAAAATTCTCTGAGCTCTTCGCTGAGTTGGAGATTGCCACGGTGATCTCAGCGATGTCCACATCTCTCGACCTGTCGAGGAGTCGACGCGTTAATCGTTACCCTCTGGTAAACTAACATAGCTATTGAAAATGGTGATTTATAGTGGATTTACCCATTAAAAATGGTGATTTTCAATAGCTATGTTAAATTACCAGAGGGTAACGGTTGCCACAAAGAGCGCCCGTAGCCGTAGCTCGCCGCCAGCGCGCCTCCAGGTCGGGCGAACTTGCAGGACCTCGTTGGATTCCGTTGGATTCCGTTGAAAAAACTTCCACTTACCGTTGAGGCATTATATCGGAAATGGGATATAAATGGGATACAAATGGGATATAATCCAACGGATTCCATGGGTTATCCCATTTATATCCCATTTATAATCCATGAAATCACTATAAAGTTCCATTAAACAGCAATAAATCACCATTTTCAACACCACAGTGGTGTACTTCACGCTAAAAAAATCGGCTGTACGTCGTCTTAACATTTATCTTGAAATTTGTTGTGACTGTACCAAGTGCGCCACATGCTTCAAAAAAGAAGAGGCTGGTCTCAACACAGGCATGGGATCGGGCCGCGAGCGAACTATGCCACGGGTGGTGCGAAAATTCGGGAGCCGTGATCTTTGGCTATCTTTGGTGGCTATCTTTGGTGGCTCCAATGGTTCCAAGACGACAGAACTTGTTTTTGTTGGATTTACCACATTCAGCGCTTCTCACAGCTTCACACAGCTTTGCTGCAAAATTTCTGAAGCTAATCTGCTGCCATGTCGACTGCTTGAGCAGAAATTTGAGGACTTCCTGTCCCAGTCTCACATAGTCTCACATAGTCTCACATTAGTCTCACATTAGTCTCACATTAGTCTCACATAGTCTCACATAGTCTCACATTAGTCTCATTCTGTCTCACTGAACCTTGACATTCTTTGACCTTTGACATCACATTGCACCCGTTCCGTATTCCATCCCCAGTGTCAGAGTTTCGACCTGGCCGTTGCAACGAGTTTTTCGAGTGCCTGAGGCCACGGCCCCAAAACGCGTCCTCACAGTGAGGTGAGATGCAAAATGCCAATATCATTCAATCAATGTATATATATACCCCCTGGTTATTTAACATAGCCATGGAAAATGACCCATTTATAGATGGTTTACCTATTAAAAATGGTGATTTTCCATGGCTATGTTAAATAACCAGATGGTATTAATTATGTATACATCAATAATTGTCAGTATAGTCAATATATTGTCAATATATGATGCACTCATCACCTGACCTCATTTTCACGTCTTTCACTGCAGTCACAAAAATGCTGAACTGATCCAATCCCAAAGCCTTGCCGCAGCCTTTTTTTTTCGCCAAAGCATCCCTGAGTCGACGATTTATCTACCCAGGAGAATCTGGCACAACGCAATTTGAATCACATCTCCGCATACATTTGCCGACACATCGGGCTTTCACTCGCAGTGTATCGCCGGTTCTGAGAGGTTGAATGTCACACGTCGTTGTTGCAATTCATCGATCGTTTCACAACGATCTCTGCGGTCGTTTCACTATGCGCAGACGCGCTCATTAATCTCATTATGTCATTGCGCAGCTGTCATTTTTAGCAGCTTTCTGTCGCCATGAAAATTCAAGTCTCTTTCAAAAGAATGTCCAATACCATTGGGAGGTGATCAGATCCAACGGCTGATGCAACGAAAGCCTCGTTGATTCTGCCTGCAGCCAATGACATGTCACAGTCATGTTGCCACACTTAAAAAGCACACCACATCTTCGACGATTTGCACGACGTTTTAAGCACGACTTAAGATCTGATTGGTGGTTTTATATAACCATCTGGAAAAATAATGGACTTCGTCAATGGGTTTCGGATGACATCCCATATAATATATATATATATATCATATATATATATATCCATATATATATATTATGGAACTATATACCATATATTATGATGGAAAATCATCCATGTTCCATTCAGCACCAACCCGCCAAACGCGTTGCGCCTATTCTGCCGAAGTCGTTGGATGCCAAGATGTAATCGATTCGAGCAGGTGGATCCGCTGCCAAGGTCCAGCGAGCTTCAGACGCTGTCCTGGACGTGGGAAGTTCGGATTCTCGCTGGGAGAAAACCCGGAGAAACAATGATAAACAATGATACACTGAAACAAATATCACTGATATCATCTGATATATCATCTGATATCACAGAATTCGATATTTGATGATATTTGGATATACTTGGAACATGTGTTATAACCAATTTGAAAGTCTCTGAGCAGTCACACCATTTCAATCACGCAGAAATTGCGGTCCATGCCGGTCCATGGTCTCGTAAGATGTCATATGATGGGTATATGATGGGTATCAATATGATGCTATCATATATGATGCTATCATATATGATATCATATTATGGTATATATCATGATATCTGATGATATATATATATATATGATATGATATATGATGCTATATATGATATATATATATATATATGATATATGATATATGATGATATATGATGCTATCATACAACAGTTACAGCTGTTACTCAGCAGTTACTCAGCTCTTAACCGTCTTAACCCATGGGTTTCTGGTGGTTTCTGCTGGGCGACTGGTGCATGTCTCTGTAGCCAGCAGCCTCCAATGCCACCAGGGCAGCTGAGTCCTCGGGTGGACTCCAGCGATTTCTCGAGTTTCGAGCCTCTAGGGCTGCCCACTCCTGGCTGGAAGCCCGGAGTAAACAAAGGCCATTCCAGGCATGAACAAAGGCGTGCATGTTCATCCATTCTTCGTTCATGTTCATCCATTTTTTCATCATATTCCAGTCTTCAGATGTCTTCAGATGTCTTCAGTGGAATGAATGGAACAGAATGGAACCTACGGAACATCTTTGTGAAAGACCAAAGTTGAAAAGCCAGAAGCCAGCGGCAAGAATAAGGACACACCACATGAAGTTGAGAATTTCTCCGGCTTCGAGTCTTGACACTCTAAACATCTCTAAACCCTAACATAGTTGCTGAATGCTGATACTGCTGTGATACACCTATCGAATCTTGTGAACGCCAAGCGAAATCCCGGAAACCCCAACCGAAACCGAAACCAGATCTGACCGAAACCTGACCAATCTGACCTCTTCAGAGTAATCAGAACGCTTCATTGCCTCAGGGAACACAGCATTCTCGAGCGAAGTATGACGGAAGATATATGAAGTTCATTATGAAGATAAGATATATGATTCATATATATATATATGTATATATGATTACATATTTATATACGTATTTATAAAGATTATACATGAAGACCGTCTGAAGACATTTGAAGTGTGAATCCCAGAAGTGCGCTTTCAACCCAAGGTGTGACACGGTGATCTCGGATTGCGGTTTGCTTTGCAAGCTGTCAGGTGATTTCGGCAGCAACCGTCGAGCACCTTTCGTGTGTCAAGCTGCATTCAGATCCCCTACAAGTAGATGTGGAAGGCCATTGCTCAGTCGAGCTCGATGGGACAAAATCGACTCTGCTTGACGAAGTCGCTCTGCCTCTGCAACGACAACTTTTTGTGATTTCTGATGGGACATGGCCAACATTTGAACATTAACTCATTAACCACATGAACCAATCATTCCAGTGGGATAACATGGATAACATGGATAACAAGAACAAAACTCGAAGGCATTCCCCCCATCTCTCCTCAGATATATGGTCTAAATGCGTGGCCAGCACTGCAAATTTCTTGTCAGCATCTTCCAGGCTTGCAGCAACACAGACCTAGCAGTCTTCATTGAGGCAGATTCGGGCAGATGGTTTGAAGATATCTGTTCTGCGGGAGTTTCTCAGTGAGTTTTTCAAGAACGGCTGGCTAAGGTGCCTCCAGTTTCATGACTTGTGTGACTGGTTGTGACTCAAATAGCTTTGAGATAGTCTTGTTAAGCCGACAAGGCACAGCTAGACAGCCGCGTCCGATGTGTTTATCTCCCTTTGGAGTAGGAACATAAGAACCACCTTCCAGATGTGCTGAATCACAATGAATCACCTGAAGCTTCCTGCTGACCAAGATAGCATTGCCGAAGCTCTCATATCCAGGATTTGCGTGAGCAAAGAAATACTCCATCTCTTCCAAATCTTCAGCTAAAGCTTCCAAAGTATCATCCCGATCATTGCCTTCGGGATCTTTCACAGAAATCCGTTTTACTTCATTCAGGCAAATGATGTCTGCTTTGAGATCACTCAAATCCTTTCGAAGCCTTCCATAGACTCTCGTCACTTCTTCAGTATCGACATTTTCTTTAAAACCTGCACCAAAACCACAAACATTGTATGAGACCACTCGCAGCCTTCCATCGCCAAATATCCTCTCAAACGTCTTTGCCGGACTGGCAAAAGAATCTTCGTCCATGGAGAGCACAAACAGCAGAATGAAGAGACACAGAAAAACGGCACGCACGGAACGAACGGAACGCTCAGTCCCAGCACATTGGCCACAACGGCCCATGAACTCGCCCCAATTGTGAACCCGAATTTTTGAGCCAATCTTTGCCGTCAGAATAAGCCATCGTTTCATCAAGCCAGGTGGAGAATATTTGAATCAACTCTTTTTTATCTAAAAATATTTTTTAAAAAATATGTTATAGCTCAAGCAATGTCAAGCACATCAATGCTTCGTAGTCTACGTTGTCCTGGTGCCACTTGCCACTGCCTTGACACGTTGAGAGTTGAGAACTGGCAGCGGCGCAGCACTGATGAAAAACGGAAAAAAATGCGTGAAGTCTGCTCCTTCTGCACCTTCTGCACCTTCTGCACCTTCTGCACCTTCTGCACCTTGAGCCTGAGGCCATCTGAGGCCACCTGAGACCCTAACCTTTCGATCCTTTCGATCCTTTCGATCTCGGGTCGAAGCCACCATGGTTCGCGCATGGCGACGGGCAAGCGCCATGGAATCCGTGGAATCCATGGGATCCGTGGGATCCACAAGCTCCGTGCGGCAGGGATCCACTGAGTCCACTGGACCAAACTCCCCACCCGAGCTCCGGATGAGGCTTCCACCAAGCGGCGGTTCCAGGCGCGGAAGGCGCGGACGGCGCGGGGGCAGCGCGCCCTGTCTCTGGTCCCGTGGCGAACCCAGAGGGCTCGGCTCTGGCGGCTCTGGCGGCAGCCGAGGCCTCAAGAGAGCGTCGGTCATGGCTGAAATCTGACGAAATTTCGGACGTCAAAAACTGATGGAAATGTCATGGAAATGTCATGGAAATGTCATGGAAATGTCATGGAAATGTCATGGCGTGAGGCCCGAACTGCTTCAGAACCTGTAGATTCACCCAGATTGATCAACATCGACGGCAAATTCCAGCATTTCACCGTAAACTTGCCTGCAGCGGTATTTTCATCATCCTTATCATCCTTATCGTCCTTCTTCCCAATCCTGAGATCCGACAAGTGCTCAGCGTCGCACCACACAACTCACACAATAAGTCTGGCACTGCTTCTCTGCCTGAGCTGAGCTTGACAGATTGCAGTCTTTGTTGTTTGATGTCCGACTGCAGATAAGACCTGATTCGCAAAGAAAGTTCTGGCCTGCGGCGCTTTGCCCTTTCTCCGTTTCTTTCTCCCAAACCTGTGGAAGCCAGGCAGTTTTCAAACGAAGCAACGTCTGCAACGTCTGAGTCACCCAAGTGCCCTGCTCATCATAGAGTTCGTCGTCAGAATTGTGTTCCACCTGGAGCTACGATTTGTTCCTTTCGTCAGAAAATCCCGTGCAAAGCACAGAGAAACATAGAGAAATCTTGGAGAAATATTGGAGACTTAGTGTCTTCAGAAAGCCTACTGGTCTCAGTGTGACGAAGTATGCAGGGTCTTCAGAATCACCACGGCTCGGTTACTGCATGGAAACATGGAAACACAATGAAACATAGAGTGAGTTCCTATCATTTCCTATCCATCCAACTTCAAAATACTGCCAAAGGGCAGGGGCGAAAACTAGTTGGGCAGATGTGTATTGGGAGAAGTGGCGCGTGTCAAATCACTCATCCACTGCTGAAAATGGCATGAGATGCTGTGGTATGAGCAGTCACGGTGGGAGGCTAAGCGGCTTCATCACCTTAGATTTCGGCTTTTTTTGTTCTCGATGCGAAATTAAAGCTGATCTCATAACCTCATCATGTCCCATAAACATTTGAGTCGCAACAAATAGATCGACAGGTGAAGTGGCTTGCATCATCTTGACGCGAGAATTGTAGCAGCCATTGCTTTTGAGAGCCAACTGCTACTCTGCTACTCAAATATGAGAAAGAAGCAAACCACAAAACACGTACAACTCGTTCAACCATTTTATTTATGCTGATTCGTCTGCTCCGACATGCTCCGACTATCATCGACTATCAGCGGTTGAATGAACAAATAATTTGTCTGCCAACATGGGAGCCCAATCCAACCCCTTCAACCCCCTGATACAAACATACATGCATTACTTCTGCACTACCTTGCGTTACCTTGCGTTGCGTTGCATTGCATTGCAATACATTACATTGCATTACATTATGTTATATTAAAATACATTAATTACGAACATAGCAAAGTAGTCTCAGTGACAAACCAAACAAAAAACAAGGAAATCATGCAGTGGGATTCGAACCGCGGGGGGGGTACACTTCCAAGTGATGGATAACTGCAAGGGGGGGGTGCAAAATCGGTTCGACGTGATAGATCAAATAGATCACTGCGTCTGCATCCAATCTGCCCCCAACACATTTTGCTAAAACATTGCTAAAACTAACTCCATGCTGATTTGGCTCTCGTGATCTGAACATTTTGAATTATGTTCATCAGGATTTCACTGGTGCAACGCAAGAATTTCAATCTCAATCTCATACCCTCTGGTAATGACTAACAGTTTGCGAACTTGAAAATGGCCCAGTCGAAATAGTTGATTTTCTCATTAAAAATATTAAGAATGGTGATTTTAACCATCGTTTTTTGTATGTTTACCAGGCCGGGTACTTAAACGCTACGGCATCGTAGCGATCGTAGCAATGCCGGCCTTGAGATCGGCCGCGGTCTGCCTTTCATTGAAGCCTCCTCCACGGCCTCGCGGAGCGAGCAAAAACCATACTTTGCCGAGTTTTCACATATGGTTGGTATACTATGGTAACAGCTGTAATATATACTATGGTTAATATTGTTGGTAACATACTGTTGAAATATGTTAACTCCTTTTTTCACTCTTTTTTTTCAACATAGTTCACCAATGTTCACCATATTTCAACATACTTCACCATTTTTTCATTGATAAAATATATCAGTGATATCAGTGATACCCTCTGGTAATTTAACATAGCTATGGAAAATCACCATGCCATGCTATTAATGCGAAAAACCACTATTTCTATGGCCATTTTCAATAGTTTTTTGTATGTTTACCAGAGGATATCAGTGTTTATTGTTGGTCATCGTTTCATATCGTTTCCAACATGTAGACCTTCATGGAGTCGACATGGAAAATGGCATCCATGGCATCGATGCCGTGGCCTAGTGCTTCATTGCCTCGCTTCTGTGAGCGCAAGAAGAAGAGACCGCCACCTCTGGACCTGGGAATTTTTAACGGTTGTGAATATGATGTCTATAAAATCTATAAATATATGGGGGTTATGAAATTCATAACATGTGGTTTTTATATTCCAATCACTCCACAAATTGCCAAACCTATTAGATTGACCTATATAAATATATGGGGGTTATGAAATTCATAAAATGTGGGTTAAGTTATCATAGGTTTATGAATATGTCATATATATGTCACAAAAATGATGGCTGACTTCAGGGATCATCTGACAGTTTCCAGTCGGTATTTTGGGGATACCCCGTTTCGTCATAATCGCTGGATGGTGAGAGAAAATCCCAGTTTCGTTTCTGCTGGATGACGATGACTAGGGGTACCCCATGACGAAACGGAAACCTCCATGGCTGGATCTATGCAAAAAACGTGGCACGAATGGTGGTATGAATGGTGGTGGTGGAATGAGACTCCAAGGCAACACCGGAAAGAACAAGAAAAAAACAGGGATGCCTTAGATCCACTGGGGATATACCATGATCGATCATTATTGGATCATCTTATACAAGTTGCACCTCATATTTCATATGGAGATGAGTTACACATTTGATCCCCTGTCTTGATTACTGACCACTAACCACTAACGTGTACAGACAAAGAACAAAAACCTCTCGATGCAATGAATCAAAAATCCTTCATTTCAATTGTTGAGCACATCTCAAAAGTCATCGGGTATGCCCTCCAGTAAATTAACATAGCTATGGAAAATCACTATTTTTATTGGGTAAATCCACTATAAATGGACATTTTCAATAGTTTTTTGTATGTTTACCAGAGGGTATCCGGAAAGTTTGCCCTCTAGGACGGCAGGAACTGTCCGTATTTTGGGGGGAATGGTTTCATCAAGCTGTCACCTGAATGCCACTCAACATAAGAACCAAAAAAATGACTGTGGCAAGACATACCAACAATATACCATATGCATCATATTACATCATATACATCACATACATCATCATATGTAACAATAACCATCAATATGTAACAATAACGATTATATCATATGAGTCCTGGACATCAACTGCTACTGAGCTCTTGACGCTGGCACGACCTCCCAGATTCACCAGCTTTGCACAGATCGGTTGGATTCACCGCTGCCGTCGGATGGGCACTGAGTCCAAAGCTTTCAGAGCATGTGCAGGCAAGTCCTGATGCCAACGAAGAGCCAGGTACAGAGCACCAAAAAGAAAAGAACTACGCATTTTGCTATGCTGAGGTTCTTCCAGGTCGTCCAAGTCGAAGTTCTTTCAGGGTATCATATATATAATCATATATATATATCATGATATATCACATGTTATTAAAATTTATTAAAATATGGCTTCAGGATGAGAAATTTTGAAAAAGGTCAGCAGTTTCCTTTTTTCTAAGTGCCCTCCGAGTGCCCTGCTGGTTGGGATCCTTAGGATTCGCAAGCATGTGGAGAGACCCTGGTACCGACAAGGATTACTGGTTTTTCGCCACCCCTCTGAAAAATGATGGAGTTCGTCAATGGGAAGGATGACATCCCATATATGAAATGGAAATTTATGGAATATAAAATTCATGTTTGAGACCACCAACTAACATAGCTATGGAAAATCACATTTTTTTCATGGGTAAATCCACTATTTCGACTGGGCCATTTTCAATAGCGAACTGTTAAATTACCAGAGGGTAATGACCAGGAATGACAAGGATTATTGGCAATGAAACAGTTTTATCAGCTTTTTTGATCAATGAATTGTCAGTGATGCTTTTTCGAACAAAAAATCGTGTCAGGAGAAACACCAGGCCTGAAGCCATACGCCATATGACTTTGGCGGCAGGTTTTAAGCAGCGAAAAGCGGCGAAAAGGTGTCCCAATTTTGGCCCAATTTCTCACGGCACTGTCCTCCAAATCAGTTGAATCGAAATCTGGATTTCTGGGTTTCCTTTTTCGATTACCATCTGAGTAGCGATGTCCTGCCATGTGGCTTCTGACTCAACGTGTTCACACTTTTTCACGCACTGACATCATTTATCTGTGTATGTGTTGTGTATCTATGCTATTCATATTCTTATTCTATGTTTGCTTTGTGTTTGATGCATAGGTCTATCTTGTGTTTGATGCTCTTGATGCTCTTGATGCTCTTGCTTCCCTTGATAGCGGAAGCTTGCAGCGCGGAGAACTTACTCTGCACGTGTCTCAGGGTGCATCTTCTCTGATTTGCTTAAAAACAGAGGAGTTCCAGGTTTCAACAGCACTTTGATATCTTGGTTCTCTTGAAGTTTCATGTATGAGCAGTGCAAAGGCATTGTACTTTTTTCAGATCAGCGGATCATTTTGTTTCGTCACTGCGCTGTCCTGTCAAGCCTTGGAAATAGATTAAAAACCCTAGGCAGACTGCATCAGGAGTGATTGAAAAATCAACGTGGACCATGCACTGCTACAAACGCTGCAGGACTAGAGACATCGAAGGCCAGATGCAGCAGGGGGAAACCAGAAATGCACCAGAAAGCCAAGAAGACAGTTCGTGACATCTGTTTACACAGCTCTTTCCAGTGATTGGCAGAGCTTAAGTTTAGAATATTTAGAATATTCAGATTTTTTTAATGTTTAGAATGTTTAAAAAAAGAACAGAAAGAACAGAAAGAACGCGTACGTGAAATCCGATTGAAATCCGTTTTTTTCCGAAAAAATCTCTGGATAAAAAATCGCCAGGCTGCACGTTGGCCGTTGCATCTGCACCTGGAGCAATGCCATGGGCCCGTGGGATGTCGCGATTCAGTCGAGAATCAGATTGGCTCACTATGGCTACATCCCATAGGATCCATGGTGCTGGTATATATACTAACATAAAGGGGGTATATTGATGGTAAATGTTACCATATATAGCATACATGGATCCTATGGGGTATGGCTGTATGGAGACTATGAACATGTCATGGAATATGTCATGGAAATTCATGGAATATGTAATGAATATGTCTTGGATTGCCTCAAAGAAAAGCTCCAAAGATCATCAAATATCGAAGAGATCGAAGAGATCGAAGAGATCGAAGAGATCGAAGAGATCGAAGAGGAAGAGATCCGGTCGAGTCAGAATCCGGGCCGCCAGGCCTGCAGTGATGATGAGGTCGTTTCCCCCAAGTTGCCGCGGGAGCACACCAGCATGGCACACCTAATGCTCAAGTTCTCAGTCGCTCAGGCTCCGTAAAGACTAAGCAAAATCGCCGTAATGACCTAGCCGATTCCCCCAAAATTGCGCCTCCAATTTCCTCCAAGAATCATTGCAAAGTCTATTAAAACAATATTAACACTTTATCATCTTCTGCCTTTGCTCCTGGAATCTCCTGGAATTGGCTGGAATTGGCTGGATATCACTCCCGTGGTTTCTCCGTGGTTTCGGTTCCAACTTTTGGACAGAAATCTGGCCTATCTATGGCCCCCGCCCAGTGAATCGCCTCTCCCTGATGCAGAGGGATCTGACAGGTCGACAGGTCGACAGACAGGTCGTTGAAATCGTCCCATCAAAAAGATATCAATGAAAAACATATGTAGATAATATATGTATATAGATATTTATATATGATTATATATGATAATATATGTATATCAATGATTTCCAAGAAAAAAAAGGCACTGTACGCCGTAGCCAGCCGTAGCCAGCCGTAGCCTCTTGGATGCAATGACACATCCGCACATCGAAGATCAGTAGCACTCCGTCTCGGCCTCACGCAGGACGCGTTGCGCAGGACGCGTTGCGCAGGACGCGTTGCGCAGTGCCGAGGTGGTCAGCGAGCAACGCAGCTGAGGCCAATCACATGCCATGACTTCTGATGCACTCCCGAAAGGATCCAGTGCCACAGATGTGACCTGAAAGTCTGAGTTGGTCTCCGAAACTGAGTCACTGTCACGGAGACCTCCACTCAATGATCTCAATGGGTGATCATATGGATACTTCTGGATACTTCGTCATCTGGTTGCCCTCCAACTTGCCCTCCAACTTATGAATCTGACCATATCTGACCACTTTCCATCTGTGGATCAGGCGCTTTTGCCACATCGAAGGTTCCACATTTGCCTGGCATTTCAAGTCTCACTCCGATGGATTGGAAAGACGACGTTTCCGAAAAGGAAGTTGCCCTGGAAATCGGTCAGATGTACGGTTGATGTTCGCCATATACGATGAAAATCGATGAGTCATGATCAAAATCGGTTGAGTTGGGCATCGCTTTCTTGATTTTCAACATCTTTCAACATCTTTCAACATCTTTCACCATCTTCAAAAAGGATTGGACCAGATTGGAGCAGATTGGAGCGCTAAAAGAGTGGCCTTCCAGTCAATGGACTGAAGATCCGAGCATAACCATCTGCATGACCACCTGGAACAAGCTGAACAAGCTGAAATATCCAATGTTAATATCCAATATTTATAAAATATCATTGAGAACAAGTGTTCCCATGTTTTCTCAATTTTTCTCCATGTTCAAATTTTCTCACTGCTGAAAGCTGTGCTCAAAAATGTGCTCTATGTCAATGTCACAGCAATTGAAATTTCAAAACATGTCGGCTCGTACTCACAGCGATATCACGCTCAGCATGGCTTGCAACTGCCAGCACAGGTGCCACTGCGTCCTATCTCGGTACATCTCGGTAGGAGTTAAAAAAAAAGGGCTCACATCATTGATCATGTCTCCGTGAAACTGAAGGTACTTCTACTAGGTAGTACGGTAGTAGGAAGAAAAAAACATAAAACAGCCATTACCCTCCTCAATATGACTCTTTTAAGCATGTCTAGTCTTCGCGAGTGCTAAGACTGCTAAGACCCTTTTTGACCTTTCCAGCTTTCAGAACAACAGTTGCTTTCTGCCATTGTGCTGAATATTTCTGTGGTTCCCGCTCCAATCTCTGTTTGACCCAACAAAAAGGGCCCAAAAGGGCCCGGATGTTCTCGCCGTGATCGTTGGTCTTGGTGGTCATTTTATGTCATTTTCCATGGAAAAAGATGGCATCCTTATCCAATTTTAGGTCATTTTCCATGCCATTTTCCATGCCATCCTTCAGTCCTCTTTGGTTTTCTCGGCACTGTAAATTGCAGCTCCATGTCTCAGTGAAAAATCTGAGATGTGGATCGATGGATCAATTTGGGACATCTGAGCCGTGTGCGTTACATCCATGGCGCAGCAAGTAGATGCAGCACCTGAGTTGGCAGGCATTTAATTATTGCGGGAAAACCATGGAAAACCCACTTCTTGCTTCTGCCCAACCAGTTTATTGTTAAACGATGTCGAACGTCTTGATGTTTTTCAGCAGGCACATCATGTCTAACCCCTCTGTAGCTCCTGTTTTTCCGTGACATTTGCTCTTGCTCTGGTCTGCTGGGGGCCGGAAACTGCTTCTTTTGAATCTCCACGGGTACTTCTGAATTGTACTCTATGAGTTTACAAGAGCCTGGCATGATGTAAAAAGTATGTCTGGTTTAGTTGAGCTTGTCTAGGTTGCATTATGTTGCATTTGCCTGCTGTGACAGGCATCACCGTTGTGCTTTTAGCTTGGAATGGATTCTTTACTTAGCTCAATTTACTCCTTCATCTCGTATTGCGCAACACTTTTGTACCTCTGTTCCATGAGTCGTGACAATAAACCACCCTTGACGGCACGACCCGTCTGACGGCAAGTTGCTGCTGCAGCACAGGAGCAAGGTAGATCTGCGAGGACCCCAAGCAACTCCTGGAGTTCGATCAAAATCTTCAGGAATCGCAACAGGATATCAAAAAAGAGTCAAACATATTTGGAGTTGACAGAGTTGACATTCAAAATGAGGTCTTCCATTTTTCACATTTTTCGCTGCAAATTGTATTGCAGCCCCATCTTTCCCCATCTTTCCCCGCTTGTGGTGCCTGTGAGTGACCCGAAACTGTGCTCATCGCGACTGCCAGGTGCTGGGATGTCCAAAGCCTCCGCGATAAATCGCAGCTACGTCCATTCTGAAGACCTCTGCTCTCAGTAACAAAAAGGGTAGAGGTCTTCAGAAGACTGCAAAAAATGTACCATAAACGATTCAAAATGTACCATAAATGATCATAAATGTACCAATTTTCAGGGTAGACCGCAACTGTTCGAGCCGCCTGAAGTGGTGCATTGGCCGCTCGCAGGCCTGTGGTGAAACGTTTGCAGATCTTTGGAGCGAAGGCCAGGAAGAATTTTTCATCGGCTCGACAGTTCTTGCTGATTGTTTAAGTACCAAACTTAAGTACCCGGCCTGGTAAACTAACATAGCTGAATAGCTGTAGAAAATCACCATGCTATTACGGGGTTTTTATCAACTATTTCGACTGGGCCATGTTCAAGTTCGCGAACTGTTAGTCATTACCAGAGGGATCCAGAGGGATCCAGTGTTGGCCGATGGCACCTCCGTTCTCGTCGCGGGTTTCCTGGCAAATCTGAAAAACCGCGACCGCCATAGCAACCGTTGTCTGATCGCCTGTGGGACGCGCCACAGCAACACCAGATTGTCCAAACCGGCGCTGGCCTCAACGTGAGGCCAGCAACGTGAAGCAACTTACGAAGCAACGAAACAATAGCCAAGACTTAAGACATATCCCATGACGGATCCATGGTGCTGCTATATATGGTGCTCCATGGATCCCATCAATATACCCCCTTTATGTTAGTATATATATATATATACCAGCACCATGGATCCTATGGGTATTAAGACCTTTCAACAATGCGCACCATGCATAGCATGTTTTTCCAGATGTCTCACCATCGCCGCCGTTGCTTTGAGGTTCACACCAACAAGCCCAGTTTGGGCTGCAAATCCAACGAGACAACCTACCAGATCTGCTGGGTTCATGACAAGATGAAATCTGCTGTGAGTCAATTTGGATGTCATTTTCCAATTTTTGATTCTGATCGAAAAAATTATGTTGTGATTTTGATGTGATTTTGACGAAATACTTGATTAGAAAGCTACCATCTAGTTGTCGGATGTTATCCCATGTTCTCGACAGGCTCAGAAAATTCGATAAAATCCAGAATGAGTACCAAATCATTTAAAAACCTACTTAGGATACAAATAAATAGAGTCACCCTCTGGTAGTTTAACATAGCTATTGAACATGGCCCAGTCGAAATAATTGATTCTCCCATTAAAAATTGCCATGTTCAATAGCAAACTGTTAAATTACCAGAGGGATTTTTTTATGTATATACATATATAGATATATATAAAGATACATGTGTATATACATATATGGGGATGGGTCAAAACCCTGGTACCCCTAGTGAACCCCAAAATAGCTGGGATTTATGGATGTTCATTCCCCTAAAAATGGTATTAATAGGTATTGACCCATAGCCATATAATTCAACTTCATGGAAAATGGCCCATAGAAATAGATGATTTTCCCAGCTAGAAACCTCCATTTATAATGGATTTTCCATAGCTATGTTAAATAACCAGAGGGTAACCATATATTAACCATATGTTTACCATATAATACAGTAACCATATTAACCAGTTTCCCATATAATTCAACTTCAGCCAAGTAGAGCTGAAAATCCCAGCGCTCCCAACCCGTTCCGTGCCCCCGTGGTTCCGTGCCCCGTCTCGATGGGCTCGGAAGCTCTGCAGGTGGCCCAGGTCCCGTGGCCCAGTTCTGGCCGCCTCGGGGTCCTTGGGTTTGGAACACATGGGATGGGACCTTTTATAGGCTACAAATGATATGAAGAATGTGTGTATGTATGTACATAGATACATAGATACATAGATACATAGATACATAGATACATAGATACATAGATACATAGATACATAGATACATAGATACATAGATACATAGATACATAGATACATAGATACATAGACACATAGATACATAGATACATAGACACATAGATATAGATATAGATATAGATATTAGATATATAGATATATAGATATAGATAATATATATATATATACATATGAAATCTATAAATCTAAATATATCTAAATATTTCATCATATGTCATCTATGTTTGTTTTAAAAACATGGCCTATAACCCGCACAGCTCCGGACGTTTCCCCCGAGCCCACGCCTCTCTCAATCTCTCTCTCTCTCTCTCTCTCGCTGAACGGACCCTGATAAAAGCTATACAATATACTATGTAATATACCTTATACAAAATTCATATATATATATATATACTAAAATGCAATAGTATGTAATAATATGTCATATATAGTATACAATAGGCAATATTCAAATTATTTGCCTATATAATTATATAACAATGTGTATGTAATATATGGTGTAACATATATTAGTGGTTATTATCAGTCATCATCCACATATCGACGGTTTGTTGTATTCGCCAAAATATTCCTCAAAACTCCAACGAAACCTAGACTGAGCAGGAACCAAACTACCGGAGGATACCGGAGGTATCACGACTTCTTCGTGTTGCCATGTCCTAATAGGAGGTTTCCTTCCCAAAAAAGGGGTACATACCCGTAAATCATCCATTAAAAGATGGGATTATCCCTTATAAATCATCGTTTTGAATAGGATTTTCCATTGTAAACCATCCATAACTTGGCTACCCCCATTTATGGAAACCTCATTGAAAAATGCGTGTCAAGTGTCCAGGGACCCGTTCTCTGAGGGTGAAATCCTTAGCTTTTGGCCAAAAATGTTTGGCATGTTGCAAGAACGTTTGCGAGCAACTGGTCAGCTGATTTCTATTGATATTTCTATTGATATAACTCACTATATGTCGATTGATATATTCACATAAAATTTCACATAAAAATTCTCACATCAATGTTCACAAAAAAAAATCTGTACCTTGACCCGTAACCGCCGTAACAATTTTGGGTCTGACCCGGGTCAAAGCTTTCAGATCAGGCAGCAGTTCAAAGGAGTAGATGTCACCGTCCATCCCACCACTGAAGCCAACGGGAGATTGAAGATTCTCCTCGCGAAAAAACGTCTTTTGATGTTTCTCCAAATGGACGCTTTGTGAATATGGTGTGAAAATATGTTTTGAGATATTTGTTTATACATGTTTATACGGTATATATACGTCTTTAATATTTCTGTAGGTCCCTTTGAACACTTGGAGATTGGCACAAATTTGGCAAAGCTCTCGAAACATCGAAACATGCTGAGCGGCCACAGTTCGTGGCCACAGTCCTCCCCATCAGGCACTGCCAGCGCCATAACTGGCCCACTGTGTGCGCCTCACGGTCCGATGCACATCTCAGCACATCTCAACACCCGAAGCATCCCCAAAATTGATCACTTCTGTTGCTTCAATTGAAACGCAGGAGAAAACCCGAGACAAGAAGTGCAACTAATATCAACTCATCAAAAAACAATTCAGCTAGTCAGCATCTAAGTCAGCCATTCTAAGCCATTCTAAGCCATTCTAAGCCATTCTAAGCCATTCTAAGCCATTCTAAGCCATTCTAAGCCATTCTAAAGCCATTCTAAGCCATTCTAAGCCATCAAAAATGTCAGCCATTCGTCAATTTCTAAGCTCCTAGCGGTAGTTTGCAAACGGCTCTAAGTCTTCACAGGCACCATCGATCCAAATGGCGCCAGGCATGCTGCCAATATCCCAGGCCTTGGATACAGACTTTCTATGTGGATGTGGGTCAAAATGGAAGACCGATGAAGACCGATGTGGGACCACAGATGTGAATGTCTAGTTTAGTATTAACATGTATTAGTGCCATAAAAAAAAATATTGGGGTACCTAATTTTGACCCAAATTGCCATGTATTGCAATGCTTGCCATGAACGCAACTTGCGGTCTTTACAAGTGCTAAAACGGCTGTCTTTAGCAGTCTCCCATTAGAAATCATAAAATATAGTGGGCTGTTTTCCCTGCTCCTTTACTTTTATGTTTTCCTCCAAGCACAGTTGACTGTCCTACTATTGTTTTCTTGCTTCAAACAGAAACTCACAAGCTTCCATATTTCTGACAAGGCTGTGTATCACGTCTTTTTTCCCTCGGAGCACCTCCAAATGACTTTGTTTTGACCAACAGTTTCTCTTGAATTTCCTCTATCGAAGGCCTTCACGATCGAATCTTCTCCAGCTGTCAGCAAAACACCTGCCACGGCCGACACGCCGACGCTGACATCGGTCGCTTCTGTCGTTGTCGCAGAATCGCCTTGACAAATTCGAGCACTGCGCAGCGCGTCAAGATGAGAATGCAGGGTCGCCACCTGCCCGACTCCCCGAAAAAGGACCATTGAAAAGCCATTGAAAAGCCATGATTTCAACTTCAAAAAGTCCGAACATGTGGTAAAAAAAAGGAAGTTTCTGAAGTCATGGCAGGGTAGCTTCAATATCATTATCCATTTGAGATTGGGATATCCGCCGACCCCGGCAGACGCAAGGGGGAGTGCGCCAGGGAATAAGACATTCGACCCTTGTTTCGGACTACTACCACTATAGGGTAGAAATGCATATAGCCAGTATAGCCAGTAGCAGAAGACAAAAGTAGCTAAAATCAGCTAAAATCTTTGTTTTCTGTGGGTTTCAGAAGTTACATCCTTTGCTGCATGGTGTTTTCCCATCCGGGAGGTGCCTTTTGCAGCAGCAGCAGCAGGAGGAAACAGAAGGAAAAAGTAGCAAGAATATGCTAAAATCATCCTTTTCTCTGGGTTTCAGAAGTTAGGAAAAAGTAGCTAAAATCATCGTTTTTTATAGGTTTCAGAAGTTACATTAGGGAGTTTTTGGACGCAATTTTGATGCTTTTCCGTCCTTCGCTGCCATGGTGTTTTCCCATCCGGGAGGTGCCTTTTGAACAGAAGGAATTTCAGCAGCAGCAGCCTGCCATGGTGTTTTCCCATGCAGCAGGAGGAAAAGGTAGCCAAAATTCATAGCAGCAGCAAGAGGAAAAAGCAGCCAAAATCATCATTTTCTATGGGTTTCAGAAGTTACGTTAGGCATTTTCGGGTGCAATTTTGGAGCTTCTCCGTCCTTCAGAGGCATGGTGTTTCCCTGGTGTTTTCCCATTTGGGGACCGGATGTAAAGGTAGCCAAAATTCATAGTGTTTCCCTGCCGGGAGGTGATTTTTTCCATGGTGTTTTCCCATCCGGGGACCAGCAGCAGCAGCAGCAGAAGCCTCTGCAGCAGCAGGAGGAAAAGGTAGCCAAAATTCATAGCAGCAGCAAGAGGAAAAAGCAGCCAAAATCATCATTTTCTATGGGTTTCAGAAGTTACGTTAGGCATTTTCGGGGTGCAATTTTGGGGCTTCTCCGTCCTTCAGAGGCATGGTGTTTCCCTGCCGGCAGGTGATTTTTTCAATTGTGTTTTCCCATTTGGGGACCGGATGTAAGGGTAGCCAAAATTGATAGCAGCAGCAAGAGGAAAAAGGAGCCAAAAGCGTCATTTTCTATGGGTTTCAGAAGTTACGTTTGGCATTTTCGGGGTGCAATTTTGGGGCTTCTCCGTCCTTCAGAGGCATGGTGTTTCCCTGTTTTCCATGGTGTTTTCACATCCGAGGACCAGCAGCAGCAGCAGCAGCAGCAAAAGCCTCTGCAGCAGCAGGAGGAAAAGGTAGCCAAAATTCATAGCAGCAGCAAGAGGAAAAAGCAGCCAAAATCATCATTTTCTATGGGTTTCAGAAGTTACGTTAGGCATTTTCGGGGTGCAATTTTGGGGCTTCTCCGTCCTTCAGAGGCATGGTGCTGCCGGCAGGTTATTTTTTCCATGGTGTTTTCCCATTTGGGACCGGATGTAAAGGTAGCCAAAATTGATAGCAGCAGCAAGAGGAAAAAGCAGCCAAAATCATCATTTTCTATTGGTTTCAGAAGTTACGTTAGGCATTTTCGGGGTGCAATTTTGGGGCTTCTCCGTCCTTCAGAGGCATGGTGTTTCCCTGCCGGCAGGTGATTTTTTCCATGGTGTTTTCCCATTTGGGGAGCGGATGTAAAGGTAGCCAAAATTCACAGCAGCAGCAAGAGGAAAAAGCAGCCAAAATCATCATTTTCTATGGGTTTCAGAAGTTACGTTAGGCATTTTTTTCGGGGTGCAATTTTGGGGCTTCTCCGTCCTTCAGAGGCATGGTGTTTCCCTGCCGGCAGGTGATTTTTTCCATTGTGTTTTCCCATTTGGGGACCGGATGTAAAGGTAGCCAAAATTGATAGCAGCAGCAAGAGGAAAAAGGAGCCAAAAGTGTCATTTTCTATGGGTTTCAGAAGTTACGTTAGGCATTTTCGGGGTGCAATTTTGGGGCTTCTCCGTCCTTCAGAGGGATGGTGTTTCCCTGTTTTCCATGGCGTTTTCACATCCGAGGACCAGCAGCAGCAGCAAAAGCCTCTGCAGCAGCAGGAGGAAAAGGTAGCCAAAATTCATAGCAGCAGCAAGAGGAAAAAGCAGCCAAAATCATCATTTTCTATGGGTTTCAGAAGTTACGTTAGGCATTTTCGGGGTACAATTTTGGGGCTTCTCCGTCCTTCAGAGGCATGGTGTTTCCCTGCCGGCAGGTGATTTTTTCCATGGTGTTTTCCCATTTGGGGACCGGATGTAAAGGTAGCCGAAATTCATAGCAGCAGCAAGAGGAAAAAGCAGACAAAATCATCATTTTCTATGGGTTTCAGAAGTTACGTTAGGCATTTTCGGGGTGCAATTTTGGGGCTTCTCCGTCCTTCAGAGGCATGGTGTTTCCCTGCCGGCAGGTGATTTTTTCCATGGTGTTTTCCCATTTGGGGAGCGGATGTAAAGGTAGCCAAAATTCATAGCAGCAGCAAGAGGAAAAGCAGCCAAAATCATCATTTTCTATGGGTTTCAGAAGTTACGTTAGGCATTTTCGGGGTGCAATTTTGGGGCTTCTCCGTCCTTCAGAGGCATGGTGTTTCCCTGCCAGGAAAAAGGAGCCAAAAGCTGTTTAGTCCCTTTTCCGGGGTCGGCGGCAGGGGCGGCAGCCCTTAAATATGTGAGGTGTAAATATGTGTAAATACATAATGTGCCAACCCTGCTGGAACAGGCCAAAGTACACAACAGGCGAAAGAAAGTAACTCCCCAAAATGGCCTATCGACGTGGTAGTCCTTGCGCTTGACATAGTACCTGAGTTCAACCAGCGCGCAAATAACAAGAGTTCAGTCGTTTTGTTGGCTAGGCACCTGACTTTAGTCGAAGTTGAAAGAACTCCATCAACAAATCTTGCACAGCTGAGAACTTTTTGATCCTCCCTTCCTCGGCACGCTTGTCAATGACACATTATGGGCTGCTGTGGATCGCATGGATAATTTGCGTATGAGATGCAGCCAGCTAGAACAAGATGACTTGAGAACAACTGAGAGCCAAACAGCATCAAAGAACCTCACTTATTCAAGTAGCGCTACAAGAAATCTGTGGGCAAAGCAGTTGTGCATGTCTTTTAAATGCCGTTTGCATGTGTTTTGTATGTCTTTTGCATTCTTTTGCGATGCCTTTTGCGTGTCCGTTGCATGTGTTAGTGTTGCATTCAATGGATTGGGGCTCAAAAGCAATAATATTAACAGCCAACAAGTGAGTCTCGGCCAGCTGGCACAATGTTGCTTGTTGAGATACTACTTCGAAGTTTCAAAGCCTGCCGAGACAAGACAGTCAGGGATGCTCGCGCGTTTGCCTAATCAGAAGTCGAACATTTGGAACGTAATTCACGGCACCCTTGCCGATCACACCTACCTGGAAAGCGAGAAGAATTACTTTATGAAAAGGTGTGGTCATCACATATCTTCTAATTCCCAGAAGACAAGTTGAAGACATGGAATTCTGAGATGTTGTCCACTGGCACAGCCGACACAGCTTCAGCCTTTTCAAAGCCTTCATTCTCCAATGCCTCTGGTGGACCAACCCACACCATTACAGTGCTCGGTCAAGAGGCATTCCCACAATGGGTCATCAAAGTCCACGATAGACCAGGTTTTAGAAGCAATTATGATGAATATATAATATAAATTACTGTAATATACTATACTGTATTATACTGTGTATCATAACCAACGAAGAGTATTTTATGGTATTATTGTAATGGCTCAATCGGTCACTGCATGTCGAAGGTAAGGAGGTGATGAGTTTCAAGCTTCCCCACCTCAACGCCAAGTCTCCCTATTTCACCACCAGCATTAGCATCATTAGCATGCGTTAGCCGTGAATTCTGATGAAGACAGCTGTTTCTGAAGATCTTCAGCCAAAGGATGCCCAAAGGTGTTTTTTATCCACAGCCATCTCAACCGGCAGGTGCCTTGATTTGATCCACTGATGCTGTCAATGCAAAGTGGACCTGGCCGAACTGCATCCGACATGAAATGCATTGAAACACCATCACTGGGATTGACATGATTCACACCGTTCACGAACCAAATTGCAATGATCTTTCGAGCAGTTGCCAAGTTCATGTCAGGAAGACAGCGTTTTCCTGAGATGGGAGAACAGTAGCACACTCATGCACCAACATGCACCAACCATGTTCCAGGACTGCCGCTTCAATTCCAGGGGTGTTGGAAGGGGAAAAACATTTAGGAAGAGGATCCTGGTCACTAGAAAGTTTGGCAGCTTTCCTTGGCCAAGACTCAAAGATTCCCCATAGCCGCTAGAAACTCCACGCGAACACCAGAGTGCTGGTGTCTATTTGGTAATGTAACTGACCAGTTCACAAACTCGCCTTTCTCACAGGTTCAGGACAAACCCAACGGATTGACTACTGAGGTCAGGTATATTGCCAGCAGTTGCCAACAAGCAACTGTGTGGTACTCCTTGAAGTCGTCAATTTTACCCCGAGCGCCATCACCCTCAGCCTGAAAACAATCATTTGCTCGGCATATCGAGCGTGAGCGGCGCACGAAATGCATGTATGCAATGCCCATTTCGAGGTGCGAGCAAACAGAGCCACCAGCCTCGGTCATCTTGCTCAGAAATTCTTTGTAGTCCTTGGTTCGGCATCCCTGACAAATGCCTACTATGCAATGGTCAAGACGACCGGTTTGATTCTCCTTGTATCGTTTCCTGTCGACATCTCTGAAGGGGCTGTTTGAATGTGCTTGAAGGGCCGGCAGTTTCAGACATCAGACAAACTTTGCTCCTGTGGATGATTTGAGGATCCATCCTGCGTCCATTTCTTGATTGGCAGTTCAGTGATGTCAATCTGATTGTTGGAGATCTTCTTGACAACACCAGCGACCTGCTCTGGGCCAAGCATCCTACCAAATGCTTGAACCACCAGGATTCTTATCCACGATCAAATTCATGGGATTGACATGGATTACATATGAATTAAGGGCAAATCAATGCAAATCATTTCAAATCATTTCAAATCATTGATTCTGACTGACTGATTGATGACGGATTGATTCATGATCTTCTAGTTGAATTGTGTTGAATTGCTCTCTTTCATGCTCCCTCTTCAAGAACTCGCTGCTCAGGCCTCGAAACCACCTTTCTCCGTGTCCGTGTTCGGAGCGATGCTGCCCTTGGAAGGTTCGAAACTGTCCACGAGGATTCACCAGGCTTCAAGAATTCCGTAACCATCTATTTAAAACTATTTAAATGTTTCATAATGTGTCATAATGTTTCCATTTTATTTCCTTCATATTGGTCTTTGATTGCAGTATTTTGCAGGCCCACTGTACAAGTACCGACCTGAATTCCTCACATCTTGACACAATCTTCTCTGTCGTCGATTGTTGCCTCCCCACAAGACTTTATAGCTTTCATTCATTCCATTCATTCATAACCTTCACAAGTTGACAACATCTCCCCACCCTGACCCTACCAGTGACTGTCAAGGGTTTCATGTCCCAACATGGCCTTGAATCCGCGATACCACGGACAAAGACCGTTGGAGCCTCATGCAATTGGTATGCGAAAAGAATCGAAAAGATGTTGCGGATCGCAGCGCTACTATCAAGGATCAGAGAAAAGATAGACCGTCTTCGACCGTCTTCCCATGAATTCCACCTTTCTGCCCCTTTCATCCATCACTCGGCCCACCATGTTCAACCTATTTCAACCTTCTCTTTTGACTGGTGTTTTTGCTAAACACGATAGTTATTGAAATTATTTGAAATTCATCTTTGAGCAGTCGTGTCACGGTCTGATTTGCAGCTTTAAAAGAGTCCTCATAAAAAGAGAGGCGTAAGTCTCTACATATTGTATTCTTGATGTTGTGCTGCACAGCAAAGCTTGGAATTGGGCTCAGCTTTTCCTTCTTGATGAGCTTCCGCAGCCTCAAATGCATCTCTATCCGTTCCATTCATACCAACCTACAGCGGTTACTATACAGCAAATGAATCTACAAAATCAATTCAAATGCCTACTGTGTTCGTTCCTTTGTAGTCTTTTCATTTAGAATTTGATCCACAAATGACCACACGTTCAATTGAATTGCAAAGTCTGCAAAGGCAAGACTAAAAGCGGATGGGGTAAACTGGATGAACTCGGGAGTCAACATGGCGATGATGTCCCTGGCCAAGGATTGTGAGAGATTCTCACCAGGCTCTCTGTCATTGTCTCCAAACAGCCTACATCAGCCTACATCAGCCTAATACTCTCTATATCGCACCTGGGATTGTGGTTTGGCAAAGAGGTGGACCATCCAGTGCCAATTCCATCAGCTCCATTCACGAGTGCCTCACACGCTTCGTTCAGGTTCGTTCAGGTTGATGATCTGATCGCGGATCTTTGATGCCACAAAGGGGCTCTGTTTATATCCGACCAGGAGAAACAGAAATAGGCTAGATTTATGGATTTATGGAGTGTGGGTTCATTCTTGTTCAGATCCAATTCTTGACCCTTGATGCGGTTGATAGCTCTGCTGGACTCTATTCGTTCCCTGAGGCCGTCACAACTGGAATCACCGGAATGTACCATTTCCTGAGCCAACCCCGAAGTTTGGACAGACACTTTGTGAAGGCAATATGAGGCAATCATTGTCTTTCACCCACGCCTCTGTTTGCAAGCAAGACGTCGTGATATTTTATGATCACATCCAAACATATCCAAACAGAATTCTTCCCTTGTGTAAGTGTTGTCAAATGAGTCAAATGTTGACAAGTACACTGGGTCGCCGCAGATTCCACGAGATCCACTGTGGAATCAAACCGGGCACGAAATGCGAGGTGCCAAGGCGCGGCTCGATGGTCTGCCCCTCCTCATTTTGAAACTCCAAGAGCGGATCCTAAGATCACCAGCAACCCAACAACGACGACGACGACAACAACAACAACAAGAAGAAGAAGAAGCATCCAAATGAATCCAAATCAATCCAAATGAGGTATATTATAAAACTAATAAATATTTTATATATATAGTGACATAGAGTGACATAGGGCGGCAGGTACTTTGATGTACTTTGCCTCTGCCTTGACTTGGGGAGCAGTCCAAGATGATCAAGATGTACTAGTCCCGCATGAGCTCCGGATACCTACCGTATACCGCCATGCGCTGATTGGTTCAATCAACAACCTTGGAACGGATCTAAAGGTCATCGTGCAGGCTCTGGAAGCTGCAGCGGTCTTGTCAAACCGAGTGTCATCAGCAGGATGGAAGATTGTCCGAGTGATTCGCCTCAAAAGGTCAGGAGTGAAACCAGCCAGTGTGTTTGCAAAGAATGACAGGGCAACAGGTCTGCTCCTACTGAGGAGTGCAAACAAAAGACCAACAAATACATTTACAAGTCGCTGCACTGGTGTGCTGAAAATGACAAAAAGATACAAAAAGAATCTAGAAAGAGTTTGGGACTCTAGGACAGAAAACGGCCACAAAGGGTCGAAAAGGAGCATGTCTGTGTAGAAAAGAATAGAAGAGAGAGAGGGAGCGTCGCCGGGGTTCCACGTCGCAAAATGTGTTGCTTGTCTTTGGCACTCCTTTTTCCAAAGGGGTTGCTGGAAGCCGCGGAGGCGTTCCAACCGGAATGGCGACAACACGTGTCGTCGCTGTGCATCTTCTGTCAGTGCATTAACTCAGCGGCAATTCATTGGCTAATTTGGCTAGAACATGCAGGCATTCACTGGTGGAAATCTTGCCTGCTGTAAGCCAGTGACCCTTTGGGGAGCTTGCAAGACAAGACTCACCCTGGGTGCGTTTCTCTTGTCTATCCTCTGGCCGGGTAGGGCCATGAAAAAACAGAAATCATGTCTTGATGTAGCTCTTGCTTCCCAAATCTTCTCAAGCAAGTTTTACCTTTACTGCCCTTATTAAAATCAGATTTGCTCATTGTGTTTTTGTAGCTTGTGGAAATATGTTGAAATCCAATTTGAAATCCTTCACAAACTGGCGCCGTCTTTGGGCAATGTGAGATCGCCTGCCATCGCCTCATTCCGCCTCTCAGCAGCTTCTGGCTTCGGTTTATTTGGAATCCACAAGCTCCTTAGGCCATCGGATATCGTCCATCTGGGGCGAAGAATAGGAACTGAAATGAACTGAATCGAGGATGCGGTGACTATTGTCCACTATTGTCGAACCTTTTTCATCTTTGGAAATTTGGCTCAAATCAACCCTATGCCTGTACGACCTCAGAGTATGCAGGCACGTTGATCAACTCGGCTTTTGCAGGACAGCAAAGGGATGGCAAGAGTTAAAGAGTGCAAACCTCCGAGCTTTGCCAAGCAAGATTCCTCAATGTCCCACACTTGCTACCACCATCTACTATCACTTAATATATTCATAATATACACTTATATAATATATATATATATTCCAACAGTCGAATTGAACGCCAAGGATCATATTCAGTTGCAGAGAGGTCGTTTTTTTGGTTGACTTCTCCGACATCATGCTCCTGTCGCCGCTGGACCCGTGTCAAACCATCGGTGGACAATGCTCGCCGCCCATGGCCAGCCACGTGGCAGCTGGGTCAGACCTCCTCTTTTAAAGCGGCCCACTTGTCCGCCAACACGTGCATGTGGCCTGTTGCATCTACATCTACAGGCCTGCTGGTACATCTCTCTTCTACCACTGTTGAATCAAATAGAAAAATGTCTTGAGCTTGAAAGCGAATTTGCGGATCCAGAATGTTTATAAGAGTGTTCAGTCTTCAAGTCTCGTTTGTCTATTCACGGGCCTTTACTCATGACAACTCGAGCATTTTGCACCCGGACAACCTGGGATCAGAAAATATAACATGCCTTGAACAGTCTGAAAGGATCTTATGCATCAGGATGCATCAGGATGCATCAGGATGCATCATGAATCTATTTGTTGATTCAAACCGCTGGCTGTCTCCACTGGAAGGTTGAGACAACTCTCAGAGGCCTACCTTGCCCTCGCTGCAGGCCTTGTGTTTGTCACCACCTGGCAGTTTGGTTGCCACCGATACGGCGGCAGAAGTATGCAAATGTGGGGCAGACGCTTTCATCAGTGCAACAGAAAGCCAATGAGAGAATGGAGCAATTCCGCAAACGATAAACGGCAGACTTCCGGTGTGTTTGGCTTCGGCCCGTTTCCCTGCTGCATTGTACATCACAATGATTCTGAGTATATCTGACCAAGATCATGTTGTGCCTCCAGACTGGAAACGGCATTCTAGGTTCAAACAAAGCGTTGCAGGAAGAAAACGTGCTGGGAGCCCAGCGCATTCTCAAAGTCACTATACCAGAGGAATCGCCGATGACAACTTGATGTGCATCCTTCCGGTAGGCACTGACACCAACTATTGCATACTATTGCAAGCGACTGAAAGTGCCAAAGTTAGCAAAGTTGCTGTGGCTCTCCTCATACAGGTTCTCCGGCACCGAAAGGACTTTGCCATAGACATTGACGCCTTTCGTGCCCATGGGTGCACGTGGGGGTAGAAGGCTGCAGCATCGAACTATATCGAACTTTTGCGCCCGACTACGTGCAAGCACAGCTGCAAGTTCGATCCTCGCCTTTTGCTTCTGGTTCTAAGCTTGAAATCTGTGCAAACTTCGGCTTCTTCAGCTTGATGGGAGGATTCTGACCACGACCCGCAAGTGATCCGTTCAAAAAAGTTGTACAGAACTGTAGGATGCTGTGGGAAGTTCTACCCCGTGTATCCATTTGATTCCAATATCTGTGCTGAAACCAAAGACCCCTAAGAAGTACTTTGGGACCCTTAAGAAGTCACTTCTTACACATTGCAAAAGCTGCACTCTGTCTGCAATGACCGGCAATGGCAACAGAGAACATATAGAACATATTGAAAAATATGTGTTTCAAGGAATTTCAATTAATCAATTTCAAGGAGACCCTGGTCAGGAGCAGGCTATTGTGGCTTGAGGGTCAGAAGAGTTGTACAGTACCGAGCTCTCCACAGCCGCCGCCTCTAGATCTGCTGTTCTCAGAAGAGCTTCAATCCCTTCGCCCTGCCAAAGTACCGTTCACATCTTGGGCCTGTTCCTTGCGCTTGTTCCAGAGGCCATGCGACTGTCACTTATGAACAACTTATGCCTCAAGACATCTTACACTCTTGCGGGTTTGACCAAGAGGAACGAGAAGCCAAATGCTTCCTTCCTCCTAACGATTCAAATTAGAATCCCTTTCCATAGCATTCAATAACTATGTTTTTAGGATCCTGTCGCCCATGCCTTCAAGAGTTGCAAAGATTCTGTGAGGACTTCCGCGACCACGTCCCTTGCAGCCTGGAGGATGGGAGGATGTGCCACTACGCTCAGCGAATCCTATCTGTTTCGCCATCAATTTGTCCAGGATAGCCTAAGAACATGCATCCTGTTGTGTTTCTATGCACGTCTCTGTTGTATTCTGTTGTACTTGTACTGTCTAATATCGTACAGTAAAATACAGTAAATACGATGCCAACATTAACGAGAGATTTATGGGATTCCTTTTCAGTTGGCTGTCAAGCTAAACGGAGCTACCTAGACCCTCACTTTACCCCAATTTTCTTGGTACTTTTATGTACTTTTACCATCTTTCACCCAATCTTACCCGGTTCTTGCCCAACCTTAGCGACGTTTATGGCTACTTTCAGGGTCAAGGTATATAATCCGCCGACCCCTGCAGGGGGGAGTGCGCCAGAGAAGCCGGGGCTTTGCGAATTTGCTTGTTGCAATCTTTCTTCCCGATCTTTATGTTTCTCTGCAGTCTCTGGGGCCCTTGGGGGTCCACAGGATCTGGAGGATCTGGAGTCTCTGGGGCCCAGTGTCACTTGCTGCACTCTTTCTTCCTATCTCTTTATGCATTCCTTAGGTGACGTTTGGCATCTTGGCTCTGAGGATCTGGAGTCTCTGCAGGTTCTGGGTCCCTGCTATCTTTATGCATTCCTTAGGTGACGTTTGGCATCTTGGCTCTGAGGATCTGGAGTCTCTGCCTGGGTCCCTGCTCTGCAGGATCTGGAGGATCTGGAGTCTCTGGGGCCCTTGGGGGCCCACAGTCTCACTCGCTGCACTCTTTCTTCCTATCTTTATGCTTTCCTTAGGTGACGTTTGGCATCTTGGCTCTGAAGATCTGGAGTCTCTGCAGGTTCTGGGTCCCTGCTATCTTTCTGCATTCCTTAGGGCAGTCTCTGGGGCCCTTGGGGGTCCACAGTGTCACTTGCTGCAAGGATCTGGGGTCTCTGCAGGTTCTGGGTCCCTGCTCTGCAGGATCTGGAGGATCTGGAGTCTCTGGGGCCCAGTGTCACTTGCTGCACTCTTTCTTCCTATCTTTATGCATTCCTTAGGTGACGTTTGGCATCTTGGCTCTGAGGATCTGGAGTCTCTGCAGGTTCTGGGTCCCTGCTATCTTTATGCATTCCTTAGGTGACGTTTGGCATCTTGGCTCTGAGGATCTGGAGTCTCTGTCTGGGTCCCTGCTCTGCAGGATCTGGAGGATCTGGAGTCTCTGGGGCCCAGTGTCACTTGCTGCACTCTTTCTTCCTATCTTTATGCATTCCTTTGGTGACGTTTGGCATCTTGGCTCTGAGGATCTGGAGTCTCTGCAGGTTCTGGGTCCCTGCTATCTTTCTGCATTCCTTAGGTCAGTCTCTGGGGCCCTTGGGGGTCCACAGTGTCACTTGCTGCAAGGATCTGGGGTCTCTGCAGGTTCTGGGTCCCTGCTCTGCAGGATCTGGAGGATCTGGAGTCTCTGGGGCCCAGTGTCACTTGCTGCACTCTTTCTTCCTATCTTTATGCATTCCTTAGGGCAGTCTCTGGGGCCCTTGGGGGTCCACAGTGTCACTTGCTGCAAGGATCTGGGGTCTCTGCAGGTTCTGGGTCCCTGCTCTGCAGGATCTGGAGGATCTGGAGTCTCTGGGGCCCAGTGTCACTTGCTGCACTCTTTCTTCCTATCTCTTTATGCATTCCTTAGGTGACGTTTGGCATCTTGGCTCTGAGGATCTGGGGTCTCTGCAGGTTCTGGGTCCCTGCTATCTTTATGCATTCCTTAGGTGACGTTTGGCATCTTGGCTCTGAGGATCTGGAGTCTCTGCCTGGGTCCCTGCTCTGCAGGATCTGGAGGATCTGGAGTCTCTGGGGCCCTTGGGGGCCCACAGTTCACTCGCTGCACTCTTTCTTCCTATCTTTCTGCTTTCCTTAGGTGACGTTTGGCATCTTGGCTCTGAAGATCTGGAGTCTCTGCAGGTTCTGGGTCCCTGCTAGTCTCTGGGGCCCTTCACTTTCTTCCTATCTTTATCTGCTTTCCTTGCTGGTGACGTTTGGCATCTTGGCTCTGAGGATCTGGAGTCTCTGCAGGTTCTGGGTCCCTGCTATCTTTATGCATTCCTTAGGTGACGTTTGGCATCTTGGCTCTGAGGATCTGGAGTCTCTGCCTGGGTCCCTGCTCTGCAGGATCTGGAGGATCTGGAGTCTCTGGGGCCCAGTGTCACTTGCTGCACTCTTTCTTCCTATCTTTATGCTTTCCTTTGGTGACGTTTGGCATCTTGGCTCTGAGGATCTGGAGTCTCTGCAGGTTCTGGGTCCCTGCTATCTTTCTGCATTCCTTAGGTCAGTCTCTGGGGCCCTTGGGGGTCCACAGTGTCACTTGCTGCAAGGATCTGGGGTCTCTGCAGATTCTGGGTCCCTGCTCTGCAGGATCTGGAGGATCTGGAGTCTCTGGGGCCCAGTGTCACTTGCTGCACTCTTTCTTCCTATCTTTATGCATTCCTTAGGTGACGTTTGGCATCTTGGCTCTGAGGATCTGGAGTGTCTGCAGGTTCTGGGTCCCTGCTATCTTTATGCATTCCTTAGGTGACGTTTGGCATCTTGGCTCTGAGGATCTGGAGTCTCTGTCTGGGTCCCTGCTCTGCAGGATCTGGAGGATCTGGAGTCTCTGGGGCCCAGTGTCACTTGCTGCACTCTTTCTTCCTATCTTTATGCATTCCTTTGGTGACGTTTGGCATCTTGGCTCTGAGGATCTGGAATTTCTGCAGGTTCTGGGTCCCTGCTATCTTTCTGCATTCCTTAGGTCAGTCTCTGGGGCCCTTGGGGGTCCACAGTGTCACTTGCTGCAAGGATCTGGGGTCTCTGCAGGTTCTGGGTCCCTGCTCTGCAGGATCTGGAGGATCTGGAGTCTCTGGGGCCCAGTGTCACTTGCTGCTCTCTTTCTTCCTATCTTTATGCATTCCTTAGGTGACGTTTGGCATCTTGAGGATCTGGAGTCTCTGCAGGTTCTGGGTCCCTGCTATCTTTATGCATTCCTTAGGTGACGTTTGGCATCTTGGCTCTGAGGATCTGGAGTCTCTGTCTGGGTTCCTGCTCTGCAGGATCTGGAGGATCTGGAGTCTCTGGGGCCCAGTGTCACTTGCTGCACTCTTTCTTCCTATCTTTATGCATTCCTTTGGTGACGTTTGGCATCTTGGCTCTGAGGATCTGGAGTCTCTGCAGGTTCTGGGTCCCTGCTATCTTTCTGCATTCCTTAGGTCAGTCTCTGGGGCCCTTGGGGGTCCACAGTGTCACTTGCTGCAAGGATCTGGGGTCTCTGCAGGTTCTGGGTCCCTGCTCTGCAGGATCTGGAGGATCTGGAGTCTCTGGGGCCCAGTGTCGCTTGCTGCACTCTTTCTTCCTATCTTTATGCATTCCTTAGGGCAGTCTCTGGGGCCCTTGGGGGTCCACAGTGTCACTTGCTGCAAGGATCTGGGGTCTCTGCAGGTGCAGGATCTGGAGGATCTGGAGTCTCTGGGGCCCAGTGTCACTTGCTGCACTCTTTCTTCCTATCTCTTTATGCATTCCTTAGGTGACGTTTGGCATCTTGGCTCTGGGGATCTGGAGTCTCTGCAGGTTCTGGGTCCCTGCTATCTTTATGCATTCCTTAGGTGACGTTTGGCATCTTGGCTCTGAGGATCTGGAGTCTCTGCCTGGGTCCCTGCTCAGGATCTGGAGGATCTGGAGTCTCTGGGGCCCTTGGGGGCCCACAGTCTCACTCGCTGCACTCTTTCTTCCTATCTTTCTGCTTTCCTTAGGTGACGTTTGGCATCTTGGCTCTGAAGATCTGGAGTCTCTGCAGGTTCTGGGTCCCTGCTATCTTTCTGCATTCCTTAGGTCAGTCTCTGGGGCCCTTGGGGGTCCACAGTGTCACTTGCTGCAAGGATCTGGGGTCTCTGCAGGTTCTGGGTCCCTGCCCTGCAGGATCTGGAGGATCTGGAGTCTCTGGGGCCCAGTGTCACTTGCTGCACTCTTTCTTCCTATCTTTATGCATTCCTTAGGTGACGTTGCATCTTGGCTCTGAGGATTCTGGAGTCTCTGCAGGTTCTTTGGTTCCAGGCTATCTTTATGCATTCCTTAGGTGACGTGGGGGCATCTTGGTCGAGGATCATGGGAGTCTATGTCTGGGTTCCCTGCTCATTGCAGGATCTGAGGATTCTGGAGTCCTGGAGGCCCAGTGTCACTTGCTGCACTCTTTCTTCCTATCTTTTTCACTGCATCCTTTGGTGACGTTTGGCATCTTGGCTCTGAGGATCTGGAGTCTCTGCAGGTTCTGGGTCCCTGCTATCTTTCTGCATTCCTTAGGTCAGTCTCTGGGGCCCTTGGCGGTCCACAGTGTCACTTGCTGCAAGGATCTGGGGTCTCTGCAGGGGGTTCTGGGTTCCAGGCTCTGCAGGATCTGGAGGATCTGGAGGTCTCTGGGGCCCAGTGTCCACTTGCGGCACTCGTTCTTCCTATTCTTTATGCATTCATAGGGCAGTCTTTGGGGCCCTTGGGGGTCCACAGTTGTTGTCACTTGCCTGCAAGGATCTGGCTGGTCCTCGGGCCCCAGGTCTGGGTCCCTGCTCTGCAGGATCTGGAGGATCTGGAGTCTCTGGGGCCCAGTGTCACTTGCTGCACTCTTTCTTCCTATCTTTATGCATCCCTTAGGTGACGTTTGGCATCTTGGCTCTGAGGATCTGGAGTCTCTGCAGGTTCTGGGTCCCTGCTATCTTTATGCATTCCTTAGGTGACGTTTGGCATCTTGGCTCTGAGGATCTGGAGTCTCTGTCTGGGTTCCTGCTCTGCAGGATCTGGAGGATCTGGAGTCTCTGGGGCCCAGTGTCACTTGCTGCACTCTTTCTTCCTATCTCTTTATGCATTCCTTAGGTGACGTTTGGCATCTTGGCTCTGAGGATCTGGAGTCTCTGCAGGTTCTGGGTCCCTGCTATCTTTATGCATTCCTTAGGTGAGTTTCGGCATTTTCTTGGCTCTGAGATCTGGAGTGCTCGTATGGGGTCCTG